GACCAATCATTCGTGTGGGTTCAGGAGATATAGGCTCCCAATATTTCTTACCCCACCAAAACTCCACGAGCAAGTGTAGGAGCAAATCAAGAAAGATAATGCAAGGCACCAAGCGCAGGCCAACAAATTTATTAAACATTGCACCTTCAAGGAAGGAGGTTTGGTGTTGATGAAGTTATGCAAGGAACGGTTTTCTCCAAGTGCTCATGGAAAATTAAAGACCAAGGTCAATGGGCCTTTTCGTAATGTTAATCACATCGACAACAAAGCTTACCAATTAGAATTGCCAAGTGATTATAAATTATCTTCCACCTTCAACATGTCGGACTTAACCCATTGCTATGAAGATCCGTCGGCTTCATATTATATCAAAGCCTCTCCAAATTGGGGAGAATGACACGGGAGCTTGGGCGGTTTTCTTTAATTGTTTAACATTCTATGTTTTTATTGTTAGTTACCTCCAAAGGGTCTTTAGAGGTAGCCTTATCTTATAAATAAGGAGCTGCCTCCCCCTCTTGTAATCAAGTTTTAAGAAATCAAGAAGTTTAGAAGTCTGTCTCATGTCTCTTTCTCTTCTTTGCATATCCTTATCGAGCCAAGGTGGTGGTTTCCTCTTTCCCAATAACCACGATAGGCTGTTCTTCCACTTTCCACTGTAGGTTGTTCGGCCCCTTTCCACTGTAGGTTGTATGTCCCTTTTCCCCTCTCTCCTTCTTCACTCCCATGCGGGGATCTTGCGGTCTACCACTGTAATAGCCCGTATTTTGATTTTGCCAAATTTTTTCTGGAGTCATTATATAACTTCAAATCGCAAACCGTCTTCGTCATAGTATTTTAATTAATATTTTAAATTATAGAATATGTTGTACTGTTTATTACTGATAAATAATATTAGATAGCTCTGTATGTTGTTTATTAAAAAAATAAAAGAATAATTCTTTCAAATTAGATTATGGGGCATCACAACCACTCTCCAATCCGCTCTAGTGGCAGGCCACTAGCTATCTAGCGTATGCACTACATCTTTAAGCTACATACCAGCCATCTCAACCTTCTTTGAGTGGTTCCAATATTATCAAAGGTGTGGTCTACGTCCTCTCAACAGCCACGGTAGGTTGTCCGTCCCCTCTCCTCACTTCTAGGTGAGGGACGTGTTGTCAGCCACCCTCCAATCTGCTCCAGTGGCTGTCCACTTGCTGTCCATTCCCCTCTCACCTTTTTCACTCTTGATGCAATCAAGATTTATCATTTTATGTTTTTATTTTTTTGTGTTTTGGACACTGTAATTTTATTTTATATAGCCTTATGATGGAAAATAATCCATGATCATGTCGGGTTTAGTGCTCTCAGGTCTATTCACACCATTGCCTTTCTACTTATATTTTTTTGCTCCTTTTCTCCTGTCACTGTTTGGTTTTCCCTGTTGTCTGCTTGGATTCCCTGCTAGCTACTTGGATTCCATGCTGGCTATTTGGATTCTCTACTGGTTGGTCAGTTTCATGTTGCTGGCTGATCGATTCTCTCTTTGTTGATTCTTATGTAGGAAGTTTTAATGAGGGTTAAATTTGGTGGTTCTGATTGGCTGTCTTGGTGGCACATTTTTGTGATCTATTAAATGCTATGATGTGAAACAAACAACAGAATTGTAGGATTTTATTAAGAAATTTGTTTTAGCAATGAATTTATAAAGTTAATGTTTCACTAAGTTAGGATTTTCAGTTTTCGTAGTTATTGACTTGCTTCTAGCATGCGGTTACACGATAGATTAACAGAGCGATTCAAGACAATAACAAGACTATAGCAAGACAAATATGCAACTAACAATAATCCGACAATTAACAAATAGAACTTTCACCTTCGAGTTTCCATCTCGATCGCTCTTTGGAAGTAGGGTTAGCGGAGGATGAAGGTTAGCAAACCTGATGACGCCACTGAAAGACAGAGGATGCCGACAGTTTTGATCAACAAAGAGTTGGCCGGAGTTGGAGAGACGGGTGGTTGTCCGACGATCTTCCACGATCCTGTGGGTTGTTGCTCTTCGATGACGTCCGCCAAAGTGAAGAGAATACGCTCCACGTATTCTTCGAAGGTGCCTTCGAATCCAAATCCGAGATCAAAGAAAGGTGATTGAATGATGTCAATTTCCGCTTGAGAATTGTAAATGAATATGTGATCAACTTCCGGATTCGCCATACATGGACATGGGAGGACTCTTTGTTGTGTGCCTTGGAGGGGAGGTCCGACATTTGGTGGTCGGGAAAGGAGGGGTGGCGGTTTGGGCTGGGCAGGATGAGGGAAGGGACGACTAGGGTCAGTGGAGGGGATTTGAGGTTTTAATTTCTCCTTTTTGGAATTAATTATCCAAAGAGGGTAATTAATTAAAGGAAATAATGGGGTGGAGGGAAAAACTAGAATTCAAAATTCAAATGAGAGCTAGGGCCTCATTAGGAAAAACCATGGTGATGCCCATTAATGGGGCCTGCAGCTTCATGATGGGAAAGAGGGATTATGGAGAGATTTTGAGAATTTTCAAATAGATCTTTGTAGACTAGGAAAATAAATAAGAAATCCAATTTAATTTATTTTAAATCGGATTCATGACTAAAACTTTTTTTATTTGGATTTTTAAATAACAAAAGTATTTGAAATTCAAATTTGAATTTCAAATGACTTAAATCTCTCCCTGAATTGCTTTGTGAAAAAAAAAGAACTTTTGGAATGTGATCAATTAAAAAACATGAGGGTTTCTTCTTTGCAAGCTGGTCTTCTCTCTAGTACTTTGTCTCGGTTTTCTTTCTATTTCTTCTCTCCATGGTTTTTTCCTTTCATCTGTATCTTTCTTCTTTAAACTATTATGAGTAGTAAGTCGAGCTAGTTTTCTCCCTATTCCCTATTACTGTGTCTCAGTCTTCTTTCTACTTCTCTCCATGGTTTCCCTTCTACTTGTATCTTTCTTCTCTAAACATTGTGAGTTGTGAGGTGATGTTGTTACCCTATTTTGTTGGTATTTGCATGAGAAGCGTCGACTTGTGCTGGATCATAATTTTAATAGTGGATCACTGGTTTGTCCTTTCCTTTGAGCATCTTTTCCTATTTTGTGATGTGCATGTGAGGTAACCACTTGTGGTTCTGAGGGTATTATAATTTATTTGTTTTGTTTCTTTTGCTTTCTTGCTCGACTTCCTAACTATTTTCTCATCTTTGCTTCCTAATAAGTTTCCATCAGTTTGTGTTTGTTTACGTGATTTTGAAAGGAAGTATTTTATTTTGCATTTCTAGTGCTCTCCTACTTGGTTTAAGAACTTAGGTTTGCATCAATTCTCAGGTGAGCGACTTGCTGTCCACCACCCTCCAATCCACTCTAGTGGCTGTCCACCTACTGTCCAGTGCATGCACGACCTCTTTAGGCTGCAAACCATCCATCTCTACCTTCCTTGAGTGGTTCCGGTATCAGTATAGGATATATAACTAATATGAGATCCGGAAAATCATTCAACAATAACAACATCAAACATTTATCCTACTATGTGGGGTTGGCTATATGTATTCTTTTTTTTTCCATTTTATCCGGTTAAAAGTCAAATTCTCATTTCAATCTAATAAAAAAATGTCATTTATAATATTTTCTAATCAAGTATTTTTAGATCATTTATAATATTCCGAAAAATCATTCAACAAGCATGCAAATTTTATAGTACACAAATTAGTAGTCTTAAAGAATTATTCAATTTAGATGAAAGTCAAAAGTTTGCTGAAAATCAACTCAATAAAAAATTCCAACGATATTCTTTTAGAAATTAGCGACGGGAAATTCAACATCAGGAAAACTACACAAACGATTTGAATGTCACACGCTCACTTCCTCAAACCAGTAAAAAAATATAGAAGCAGGAAGACGAGTAAATGAAAGAGTTTACTAGAAATCAAACCTCATGATTTTTAACATATTCCAAAGCTCTTCAAATCTCTTGAGAAAGGATTTAAATCCTGAAGTGGAAGGAATATAGCACGTCCAAACAAAAAATTTACTTGATCATTAATCATCTAATCATTAGTTATGCACATTCCTTAGGCTCTATTTCTAATCACAACCAATTAGAAATTGCCCTAAATGTGTTTTGCTTGGTTGGCTATAGAAAAGCTGTAAAGCAGAGATAGCTAGAGGACAGATAAATGCCTAGAAGTCACTGAGTACCCAGCCAACCTAGAACCCGATTAGGAAATATGTTGTTCAAACAAAAGGGTCTGATAGGAGGAAAGTGCTGAGGACTAGGTCAACAGCCATGCTGAATGTTGTTTGGGGCTTGACAGTCTTCTCAGAAAGCTTATATTGGAATTGTTGGGTTATTCTTGGGTTACTCTTATTATTAATTGCTAGTTTAACATGAAAGGAGAATTTCACACCCTTATTAGAAGGAACACAATTGTATTAGTTCTTATAACTCGCATCTTGTTAACATGTCTGATGCTGATATTGTGTTCATACAAGGGGATCATTTGCTGATCTTAAATCCATTTAATTTGATCATGTTTTTTTTTTTCTCTTACCCAAACAAAGAAAAATAACCTGAAGATAATTTCAATGGTGAGTTGGAAATTTGAGTGGTAGCTACATATGAGCTTCTAAGGCAACTTGTCAATGATCATTATTATTGGTTTATTGGCTGTTTTTTCTGTCGACTTACTGTGCCCACCATTTTTCTATTTGAGCTGGTGCCGCATTTGCCTGCCGTGCCTAGTTCAGTATGCCGTGATACATGGCTTGATTGGTATTGTGACTATAAAGCAATAGTAATGTCATCAGTACATCAAAATATTACACTTTCCTTTTAACGGGTACCTTGCATGCATAGTATTTCATTATTACATGTGAATTGGGCATGATGACTTAACGTGGGAATATGAGGACATATGACTTCATTTTTGGTTTTTGAAGTTTTTATTTGGTTATTCTATTTTCCATTATTAAAATATTGATGAAGCTTCCTTCAATATAAAAGGTACACGTTCTTGTTGATAATTGGGACATAAGAAAGGTCAACTTAGTCAATTTGAAAGCTGCCACTTGTGCTGCGCTTCTTCTTCTGCCTCCTGTTTTCACTGAGGTTTGATTCCATTTTGATTCATTATGTGGATTCTATTTTTCACTAGGTTCTAAAATCTTGGCTTTGAGGATTTCTGTGCTAAATTGTGTGATAGACTATCTATTCTGTGGTGCAGGAAGATCTTTATGTCAAAATTTGTAGCCTTTCTTACATGGGTGATCTACGCATGCAATTTGCAGAGGACAAAGATAAGGTCAAATCTACTGTTTACCTGAATTTGATTTCCCCTTTGTTAATCGGATCAAATATGTGTCTAAAGTTTTGAGTTTTGACCATCAGTGACTAAAACGTTTCTTAGGCAATGTTGCATTAAATATAGATCCATGTTCTCTTAAACTATTTCAAATAGCTTCCTAATTTTAATATTATGTTCACCAATATTGCATGGCTTTTCAGAAAATTATATTATAAGCTTTGATTTCATGAAATCTAGAAAATGCTGAATGTGTAGGTTAAAAGAACTCTCATCTTCATCCACATGGGCTAGCAACCTTCATTCTCCAAGTTGCTGGGCAAGGGTGGCCAGTGTTTCTTTTTTGTTGTGCACTGCCATTGGCGGAGAAACTGATAATTCTCATTTTTATAACTGTAAGTTAGAAAAATCACTTCTAAAAAGTTTATTTGGTTGTTGTCCATCAGGACGTGTCTTCCATATTTATCTTATTTGTTTATGTAGGAAGTGGAAATATCTAATAATCTTCATACATTTATCATATTAATACAACATGGTCCAATAATCTTAAGCCTCTGTATTTTCAACACTTTCTACCACAAATGCTTTTTCCCCGGCCGCTACAAGGACTTGTGAGCCCAATAATCATTATTGACTCTGCCAGCAAACTCATGGAAAAATGCTGCAACTCTCATGGGACTATCTCTTACGCTTGGGATTAATGATGCGGAAGCTTCTTCATCTGGAACCATAATATTAAGGAGGATTAGAAGAAAGGCTAAGGCCTGCCTCCAGGGCAAAAATCCTGAACTATGCCTTTTAACATGGGAGTAGTTGTCGCAAATATAGGCCAATATTCCTACAATTAATGGTGTTGAGCCATTCTGCTGGGTAAAGAGTAACAACTTCTAAGGAATGAAGCCTTGTTAGAAGGCGTCACTGCAGTCGGTCCAAAAAGGGACTGCAAAGGAAGGAGGAATCAATTTCTCTCGCATCTATAAATTTGTGAAGGCTGCCAAAAATAGTAGTCTTAAAAGAAGAGTCTAGAAGTTGGTGGCTAAAGCCACTATCTTGCCCTCAACTCATTTACAGGGAATAGGGTTTCAGTGAGAATTCATGGTGGGGATCATAAGCAGACCCCTCATTATTAAGATGCAGGAAGATGTTATCCTTACTTTGGACTATGTTCGAGTCATGAAAAGAAGTTGCCTAGTGAATAGCAAAGCAGTGTGCTTCCACACAAAGATATAATTGGAGGTATAACAATGAAAGTTCTTGGAAACTATATCAAAGGCTAAGGCCTTATGAGATAAGCTTAAGGTCAAAGGGGAAACATCAAGGTGTGATGTCTGGGGTAAATCCCCAAACATCCAGCTCTAGATTGTCTCGAAAAATTTGGGTTCTGAAGGAGCCCAAATACTCAGAATTCTCTGGACTGTCTAAAGGGTGAGCTCTATATGGGAGAATCCCAAAATTATGAGCAAGGACAATCTTCTAGTAGAAAGTCCGCACATGAACAAATTTTTACAATCCAAAGAAGGGGTTAATTCTTTTAAAGATTCCTCTAACTCTCAAATGATTCATTGGAAGTAGTGACTCATTCTTAAGAAGAGCTGATGGGTTGCAAGACACATGATGAAGCTTTTTGGGTCAACGACTTTGACAATGTCAATGATGAAGAAAATATTGATCATATTATGGTAGAAGTGGTGCGCATGTTTGATCATACACTAGATCAACCTACTTAAGGAGCTTAATGCCCTGGCAAGTGCCTGAAAATGAACCCTCTCAACCACAAGAAGGATTCAAAAAGGTTGAAGATAATTTTGAAGTTGTAATAAGATTGACAGAGTTAATCATGAGTACAGAGAAATGATGTAGAGATCAACTAGTTGCATGTCCGTTTTGATGAATAAGTGGCATGATGAAAAAGCTATTTGGGCAGCTAAGCTGAAAGTTGATAGTTAGATGCTAATAGGTAGTTAATCAACTGAAAAATTCTTCGGGATCTATCAATCCCACATTTGAGATAGGAGATACTCAAGTTACTCCTTTCAATACCCTAGTTGCTCCAGAAAATGGACCAGGGACTTTGCAGAAAGTAACGATGTTGACCTCCTTTTTTGCACTAGTAACTTGCACCAGCTTACTATACATCTTATGGGTCGGTTCGTCCTCCTACACGTTACACAGTTGTGTTCGATCAAATCACACATTTTATCTCGATTTATCGATAACTTTAGAATTTATTCCTTTCGATCGCATGTCCTCTATTTTGTTCTAAAATATGTGTGATCGGGTCAACGACAATTTGATATGTATTTTATGTGCATTTTAACTTTTCATGCGCATGCTATTTCAGTGCATAAAATCTTTTGATCGAGACCTTATTTTGCGAAATATTTCAATTGAACTCAATTTAAATCAAATCAAGTCAATTCAAGTCTGATTTCACTAAGTTAACTCGATCGAATCAAATTGAATGCGAATTGACTCGATTTGATTCAAATTTGGTTCAATTCGGACTCGATTTAAGCCCAATTATTTGAATCTGAGTTAAGTTAAATTCCAATTGTCCTTCTAATCAATTCAAATCCTTTTCCAAATTAGAAAATTCAATTAACGACTCCAATTTCACTAAAATTCTAAGTTTGCCGTTGTCCAGTTGGTTCAAGCGCATGATCTCCCTATTTTGAAACTGATTCTGAATGCTTTAGCAAGAGCGAGAATGATAGCCCTTTTTGGGGGTATAACATCGAAATCCAGCAGCAGCTCGCTTTCTATTCCTGTTAAGGCAGGGTAGTAGAAGAGAGGGTTCAAGATTTCCTCACTCATTTAGGCCTCTATTTGGGATAAATAGCTGAACACCGGCCCTCCCCTTCTCTCGACAAGCTCTCCCACAAGGCCTTACATCTCACGCAAGCCGCAACTCATGACTCTCTACCTCTCCCTCTGATACTCACCCAAGCAGTTGGCCTCCCTTAAGCCTCATGATGTATATTACATTCTCATGATGAATATTCGAGTGTTTGATGGCTTTCATATGAGATATGTTATAAATAGATGATTTAAACCTTAATTGTGAAAGAGGGTTGTATTTCAAATATCTCTTTGAATTTATTTTCATGAATCAGATATCCTTGCTTTGGAATTAGAAGAGATTTAATCAAATTCTATGGATTTTGGGTAGTGTTTTTTTTTCATAATTATGATAACTTGAACATATCATAGTAGGTTAGCAGAACTAACCAATATATATTTAGAATGCCTTGATTCTTTCAAATATACTTCAATGAATCGTGTACATGAACACCTACATACAACCATGCATGTTTGAAGACGAGAGTACAATCAACCATCAAATAATTATGAGTATACTCATTTCATTAATTTAAAGAATGAAAAAATTAATACAGTATTAAAGTAACATAAATGGCATCACAAGCAATGATACTTATATTTAATTAGTTTCTTCATTATTTGCTTATATGCATAATCATTTCACAAATCAATTTCTTTTGAGTACAAGTTGTCGTAGTTAATAACCTTTCCCACATGTCACTTGATGCCTATGAAAATTAATTTGGATACATGTATGTATATCCATGCTCAGATATTGGCTAGATTGGAAAGTTTGGGTGTATATTCGTGCTTCGATAATATGTTGCTGGAAACTTCACATACATATTTATGTAATGACATTAGATGACATTTGATATAAAGATTTACGATTATGATCAAACAACTTCATTTGATGTTTTCATGAGTTTTCAGATGATGCATGATTAAGGTGATGTCTTCTAATTCTTCATGTCATGTCCACATATATGATCATTACGAAGTGTTATTTTGATTTCAATGTATATCAATTTGGAGGTTAAAAATGCATTAAATTCTGACACGTTTCTCTCTTCATGTTATATGTGAGATACATCTAGAGATACTTGGACAACGAGCTTAAGCTTCCTCCTCCCTCTATCTCGCCTTTACATTGGTAAGAGCCTATCGGTCGCACTGTTGACTTGCTCTGGTGAGGTAACTATCTGAAACTTAGAGCCCACAGATCTTCTAAGGCATGCATGTGAATAGGACCCCCAAACCTTAACCTTGTAGAAACCCCACATTTAATATTTCAACCCCCAAACCTTAACCTTGTAGAAACCCCACATTTAATATTTAAAACCCGATAACCTGCTATCGAATATGAATTGAAGGCTATTTGTTGTGAACAAAATCATTAAATCATGAAAAAATGGAGAATACATTGCATTAAAATTGAAAATGACTTGCCTCAAGCTTCGGATGGGGGTGGTGCTAGGAGAAGGGATTTGGGCAATATAGAATGCCCACAACTCTATATAGTTTTGGAAGGGATGTGGAAGAGAGTGAGCCAAAGGCTCTATTGCTTATATTTTGCTTGATGCCCTAGCTTTTCTAATAAGATTTCTGTATAGCATACAAGAGAACCTAAAGCTTGGTTGATAACCCAATAATAATCTATATCTATCAATCTATCTAATATCTATGAAAACATGCATTTATATTTATTCCTGTCACATTTGTAGCAAATTTTGATGATGAGCTTGTGGCTATTTTACGTAGAGTTAAGGAAATAAGTTGTTGCTCTTGTAGGTGGTAGGGTTTGTGCATGTTTCTTCTTCTGCCTCTCCCACCTTTTTCAATGCCAATTATAGATAGGATATCTGAGAACTACTAAAGATGTACTAGCAAATTTTGTACAAATACTTAAATTGTGTATGTCTGTACCTACGTGTAGTTTCTTTGTGAGCATGCATATGTTCACTATGGTCGATGGATTGAAGCTTGAACATCTATTTGTAAATTTATATTTGAATCTTTGTAATAAGCAATATAATGTATTTCCGTTGTTGTTATGATTGTTATTAGTATATCCACATATATATATTCATGTGCATATATATTTATATATTTTATTTATATGTGTCCCCAACATTCTCATCCCAACATGGTAAGGCTTTGTTTGGGACAGCTTTCTTACTTTATGAAGCAATTTTTTTAGTACAAAAATTTTTTGAATTAGAAATTTTTGTTCTAAAAAACAGCTCATAAAGCAGTAAGAAAGTTATCTAACACTAAGCATAAATTATGAAGTTAATACTTTTCAAAAGCTACCTTGTGTGATCTTTGTTGTGATTTTCCCATTTTGTTTCTTTAGGTTAAGAAGATTGTCCAAGGGAGTTTCAGAACATTCCAACTAATGTACAAGCCTCTTTTAAAGGAGTATGCAGCTGAAGGGTTACTGGAATTCGGATATCATCCTCATTCCACATTTCAACAGGTATGCATCGTTGCAACCTTGATGGATAGTTTTAACAATTGCTCATAGTTAAATTTTAAAAGAGTGTAATCTTACTCAGTTAATAATATATCAATCTAACTAGATTTCTATCTCATGTTGAAACATATCAGACCCTTTTTCATCAACTATTTAATTCTGAACTGCTTATATTTATAGAATTACGGTATTTCAACCGTTTGGATTTTGTGAATCTGTTGTTGATTATCACATTGTCAATGTAACCACATTCTGAACTCTAGTGTGTAATCCTTGGAAACAGAACTTAATGTTATGATTGCGCTATAATTATTAGGTAAATAGGTGAAACTGCTAAAAAAATAGAAAAGAAGATCATTGCACAAAAAATAAAATTTTATATGATAGGTTGACCTGGTTAATGACTACATGTCGCTGCAAATTTCACTATAATTTGATTGTAGAGAATTACAACTCAAATCTCTCAGATATAATATAAAGATGGTGCCCCTCTTTCATTAAAGAAAAAATCTAAGTTAGCCAAGAATACACCTTCAAAACGCCCTTAATAAGATAATCCCTGAAATACAATATAAATATGAGTTGTTAAGTGTTGACGAATATTTTCGCACCGAGAATTACAACTCAAATCTCTCAGATATAATATAAAGATGGTGCCCCTCTTTCATTAAAGAAAAAATCTAAGTTAGCCAAGAATACACCTTCAAAACGCCCTTAATAAGATAATCCCTGAAATACAATATAAATATGAGTTGTTAAGAAAAAAAATTAAGCTCTACAACTCAGGGGTTCGCGAGGGGGGTGTAAATTTATAAATAAAAGTATAGGGATTTTTTTTTTCATATGTATATATATATATATAAACAAATTTTTTATTTTTTTAGGGGGGCAATTGCCCCCAGGCACTTAAGGGTTCCGCCCCTACTACAATTTAAATATTAATAAACAAAAATAAGGATCTTGATGAATGCATAAATTGTTTATGTCCTCGTACTGCTGAGTGTTCATTTTCTCATACAAATGACAGGACTGCGGATTGTCTGCCACAACATCACTCTTCTCTTCTCTTCCTTCTGCAGTACATCGCAGGATGTTTTGGGGAAAGCACAGGCCTGTCATGACTGGTAGCTTTCTCCATCGCATCTTCTTCTACTTGAACCTCTACTAACTCTTTGAAATCATGAAAAACATAAAGGTTCAAGTTTGGCAGGTGAAATACCATCAGAATTTTTCATTACCTCTAGAGAGCAGGCTTCTAGCTGTGTTCTCAAAGCACTGCGGCGTATAGTTCTGGTTTCAAGTGCGAGACAAGCAGTTTCTGGATTGCTTGCAACTGGAGGAGTTAATGCTGCTCGCTATCTCATGAGGAAGATGTCCAAAGCGTGGAAATCCCGGACTGCATGATTCCTTCAGGTTTGCTTGTTCTAACAAAAATTCCTGTTGCAGATCGAAAATACTTCAAATCAATTCCAGATTGGTTCTCTTAGTAAAACCACTCTGGACAACAATGATGATGAATTTTGCTTCCTCTAATATGAAGCTTTTGAGATTGATTTGCAAGAAATGGAGCTGTTTATCAAGTGCACTTATTCACGGATTGATCGACCAAGAAAGCATTTTGGTTGAAAGGTGTGTCCTCTTAACAATCCTCCTAACAGCTGACAACATAGTTCTCTGTTACATTATGTTTGATTGGATATGCATGAAAGATAACCTTATGTTAGGGTTAGGTTTTGTTTGGGGCAGCTTTTTTATTGCTTTCTAAAACAACTTTTCAGTATAAAAAATTTTTAAATTAAAAAATTTTGTACTAAAAGTCATTTTAAAAAATAGTATGAAATTTGTCTCAAACAAAGCCTTATTCGAAGGGCAAATTATTCTGTGTTGTTACCGAACGCCGTCCAGAGTTCAATGAAAATGTACCACATCACCCCCTACTCGGTACCGAGCTCGGTACTGCTTGATATTGGATGACGTGGCTGCACCAGATTTGACTCTGGACAGTAAGCTGTGTCCGGTGTCCGCACAGAATAATCTCTCCATTCAAAGAGACAAAGCATCACTCTTTATTTCTTATTTAATTAAATTAAAATTTTATTTGAGACAACTTTTTTAATACTTTTTAAATCAACTTTCTTATTAAAATCTTACTTTAGAAAACAGTAAGAAATGAATAAACTCATTTCATTAGACAAAAAGATCATATGTAATGCATGAACCTGCCTATTGTTGACTCTGTTAAGAGATTGATGTCCGTTGCCTTCCCGGATTTGGGGAGAGGTTATTTTGTGTAGTTCGAATTCATGACCTCCATTGTATCACACAAGCAGCAGTTTGTAATGAATTAATTGATATAATGGATCTGAAGCATATTATATAGTTTCTTGCACTTTACCTGTGCATGGAGATGGGTTTTCACTGATGCTCAACTCCTTGTAGAGTTGGGAGCTGTTTGCGATCAATTTTATTTTTATTTTTATTTTTTATGCTTTATTTTTTAAATTTTTGTTTGATTGATGTTATTAGTTCTTAATTTTTATTTTTGAATACAATCGGTGTTTTGAAAAACAGTGGAAACAATTTTGGATTTTTTTTTAATAAAAAATACCCCAGCCATAACTAGCCACTCGCAAATACTAGCTATGGCCACCAGCTGTCTCCTTAAGCCACCAGTGCCATCATTGTTGGTTATAGGGGTGTCAAAACGGGTCAACGGGTCGGGTTCAGATTCAATCCGAATTGACTCGAGTTCAAACGGGATGATCCTAACCCGATCCAGCCTTGCAAAGGGTTAGGAATTCTAACCCGAACTCAACCCGTGCGGGTTACCCGGTTGACCCGAACCGACTTGACCCGTGAACTCGGACGCAAACGCTGATGCAGGTGAGCGCTGAGTCCAGACGCAAGGGCACTCGACATGATGTGGGAGGGGCGGAGGGCTGGGTGGCCTACGCGTTGCGAGTGCAGTGCACATTGTGTTGAGTTTGGATGCGCTGCAGGCGAGACCAGTGCGGCTGCGAGGTTGATCGGTCGTGCCGCGAGCGCGTGCTGCACTACTGCGGGCGAGGCGCCGACTGCAAGGGGCGGGACGTGAGGCAGAGGCATGCGGGGCAACGAGTGCGGAACGCCCGAACGCGGGCTGGGGGGCGAGATCTGGGTCAGCTTCAGGTTATCCGGTAAACACAAATCGTACCCGATTTTGTAAATTCTAACACCTTGCTTTGCTAGACTTGCTCTTTGTCTTTTGATCTCATATTTATTTTAATATTTAAAAAAGGTGCAACACGAGAACTTTTCAGGAGGTCACCCATCTTAATATTGTTCTCGCCCAAGCACGCTTAATTGCGGGTTCTGATGGGATCCAGTGCATTTGTACAATTCATCTTGATCTTTTGATTGAGGACTTTGGCTACTAATAAAGATGTCTTAGATTCGAAGGCAACGAATGTGATATATGCATGAGTTTGTCTTGATAGTTCAAATATACCAAAAAAAAATGTTTAGTATTTAAAGTATATGTTAAAATAAACTAAAACTAATAACATTTTTATATAAATTAAAATTTTAATAAATAAGTAAGACATGTTAGGTTTCAAAAATTCCTTGATCTTACCGCAGAATGCGAACATGCTTCTAATCGAAAGCCGGTTTATACTCTCGCGTAGTTAAAGCTGTGTCGTCGTCCACCTCGAACCCTTTAACTCTTTTTGGACCTCCCCTCTCCCTGAACCGAACTCGACCTAGAAAAGGCATCGATCGCCGGTGATGGCATCGTTTCTCTCATCTTTCAAGTACGCCGACAGCCTTGTGGTCGTCGGCATCTCCATAGGCACGGCATTCTTATGCGAAGGGATCTCATGGATCCTCATCTACCGCACCAATACCTATAAATCCCTCCGGTCTTCCATTGATAAGGCCTCCAAAAAGCTCGAATCCATGAAATCCCCCGCTTCCACCGCTTCCGCTGATGGTGCATCTGCGATCCCCTCCACCGGTCGGCGATCCTCCTCCCGCGTAAAGAAGATGGATCGGGTTGAGAGCAGCCTCAAGGAGTCCACGCGCGACCTCTCCCTCTCGAAGTTTAAGTCTGGATTCGTCGTTGCGGTGGTGCTCTTCGTCATCTTCGGCCTCCTTAATTCCATGTTCGAGGGCCGGGCTGTGGCGAAGCTGCCCTTCTCGCCTGTGTCGTTCGTGCTCAAGATGAGCCATCGTGGGATACGTGGTGATGATCCCACGGATTGTTCTATGGCCTTCCTATATTTTCTCTGCTCGATTAGTATTCGGACTAATCTTCAGAAGTTTTTGGGCTTCGCTCCGCCAAGGGGCGCCGCGGGGGCGGGGCTATTCCCGATGCCAGATACCAAGACTAGTTAACTTGAGGTTTGTAGAACAAACATGAGACTAAGAGTTATTGTTGTAGGTATCTATCCATCTCTTCCTTTGTTGATTCGCTGGCTCAATATTTCATCGTTTTATAGCATTGCAAAAACATATGGGTCACTGATTGATATGATTGAAAATATTTTCTTTATCATGGCTACTTTGGTCAGTTTCTAGGGGGAGCGGGCTTGTTTGCTCAATGTATGTTCTGGTTGTTAGGACGTGCGTTGCAGGTTAAAAATGTGGTCTCTTATATCTGTTCATGTCTATTTGTTGCCTCACGTCGTAAATTTTATGGTTCGTGCTTTTGAACATTTTAAATCTGCATTACTTCTTCACTTGATTTATTACTTTATGATTTTTTAGCAATTAGATTAAGGAAAAATTGTTATTTAACCTGATGAGGCTCATTCTAAGATAAGGGAATACTTTACCTTATAATATACCTTAGTATTATTACTTTGTTTTTATTCCTGCATTCGGGTAGCTCCCACTACCTTATTTCCCTATTTTCTCCAAACCGTACTAAAGGCTACTTTAGTTAGTTATTTCCCTTTCCTGCATTTCTCCTTTCTGCTTTATTACAAGTTGATATATATACTTGTACAGAGGAAAAAAGGAAGATAGAATGATATATACAAATTACTGAAGAACTCAGTTGGTGTTCTTATTGCTTCTTGCATTTCGTTTGCTTGTTCTCTAATTCCTCCACCGATACCCTACATCATAACCCCCTCCATTTTTTTTGTCGTGTGATGTGTATGTTTTGATCATAATGAAGTTTTATTTATATTTTGATAGGAAACATTGAAGAATCGAAGATTTTTTATTGGGAGATCATCATTAGCAACAACAACAATAGGATTTTGGATTGGAACATATGTTTGTGCTTTAGCAGTGACATTCATAACATTGGTTGATTTTAATTGTGAGTATAAGCTGTTTGAACACCTCTGCCATTTGGCATCACATGACTTGTATGCTTTTATTATAATGGAGAAGATACTTTAACTGGAAACATGCAAGGGTTGAAGATTTTTGGATTGTGAGATCATCGGGAGTAACAACAACAAAAATTTTTTGATTGGAAGATTTGTTTTTGGTTTAGAAATGGTGCTATTAACATTGATTGGTTTTAGGGTTATGAATATAGATTATGCATATGCACAAAAATCATTAGGTTCTACTTAATTGTAAGACTTGGTTACCATAGTACAATTTGAGGAAACGCTTGTATGAAATGCCAAATATTGGAAATGAACGTATGATGAGAAAATATTTCAATGGAATTTTAACTAGGAAAGGGGTATCAAAATGCAGCCTACAATGGATAGACTAAGGCTTCATTTGGGACAACTTTTGGTCACTGATTTTTTGTTGATTTCAAGAAAGTTTTGCACAAAAAAGCTGCTTTCGAAAGTAATAAAAAAATTATCCCAAACGAAGCCTAAGTAGAACATGGAAGAATTGCAAGATTATGTCAGCTATTTTTGGCAAGGGGAAGCATCCCATGATGACCTATAAAACTAGTGTAGAAATGTTAGCAAGGAAGGGATTAGAATAATTTAATTTAGTTCGAAGTTATTTGAAAGATTAATCTAAAGAATAATTGGATAACAACTCTAGACTGAATGATTTTTGGAAAATGATGCACATTAAGTTATGCAAAAGTTCCAAAAATGATGCCGTTTGATTCTAAGTGTCTTGCATCATTATTGAACTACTGAATTTGCCCACTGCAATTTTTGGAAAATGATACACATTAAGCTTCTGATTTGCCTATTGAAAATGATGCCGTTTGATTCTAAGTGTCCTTGTTTTCATAGCAAATAGCAAACAGCTTTATATATTTGATCTCAGGTTAATATTTTTTAACATTTAAGGCTACTGGAATGGATAACATGTCTGTTTTCTTCATTGGTTCTTTGTATAGTTTAATTGGTATTTAAACCTTTTTATCTTTTGACAATCATGGGATCCTGAGAGGATGCTGCTGGATTAGTGGTTAGGTTTTCTCCTGGTGATTATTAGCTGTGGCTAAATACATGTGTAAGGTTTCTTGCATTAACCCCCTCTAATCCTACATTGATGGGAGCTTCGTTTATTGGATAAACTGTTTTTTCTGCAACTTTATGAACCTTCTCTTAAGGTATTGATAGACAACCTGTCTTTACTCTTGAGAATATATAATGTAAGAAAATTTACATTTCAAGCATTTTTTTAAAGTTGATTGACTTATAAACAACAATAAACAAACTAAAGTTGGGAGTGTTGTGATAATGTTAGCGTACTTGGTAAAATTATTGTGGCATTGATCTAAATCATCAAGCGGCGAAAGTATACATGTTTTAGTAAACTAATATAATATTAATTAGTAATAGAAATACATTGGCATCAGAAAAGAGGCAACAACGGTTGTTGATCGTTAACTAATAAATGGTTGCTAGTGGGAGCTGGATGATGTCTGCTTTTAGTTTAGCTGGTAATAACAATACTATGATAGAAATTTTATCTTGAAAAATTAGAAATTATAAATTAATGATTTCTGGCTAGGTCTTTCTCTGGGCTTTCATGAATGTAAGCTTCTTAAGGTGGGATCACAGCAGCTTTACCTTAGTTAATACTTCATTGTGGCAATGTGACAAATAGCTGCTTCTTTCCGTAGTAAAAACTTCAAGAAATGCATCATTAGTTGTTTAGGCGTGCTATAATGGTTCAATGAGCTTGCATATCCATTCTTGATGTCTAAATTTCCATCTGTGATATTAAACCAAGTTTTGACACTTCATGGTTGATTATGTTGATGGAATATCTTCCTAAATACTTTTAAGGAGAACTCTTTACTGCGTGAAGAAAATTTACATTCTATTCACGTTCCTTCTGTATAGGTTCTTGGAACTTTTATTTCTCAGTGATCACAAATTGAAAAGCTATTTTTCTCAAAAAATGCCTCCCCTTTTGTCAGAAGCTGAATTTATGATTTTTCTAGTACATTTTTGCTCTGATCAGGAATATCTATATTTTTTGGATTTGTTGGGGTGTAATTCGGCTCATTGGAGTTAATTACTTAGCATTGGACCTAACTGCAGTATTTTTTCTGGTTAAGTTTTTTCCGCAGAAAAAAAAAGCAGGAAAAAAAAACACAATATACGAAAGCAGACTTTATGTCTTCAACAGAGATAACATATCTAGGATTTGAGAATATTTAAATTCAAGTGCTCTATTTTAGTAATGTAGAAATCATTTTTTGCAGAGACTGATTTATTTGAGAATTCACATAACAACTTACTAATGCTTTTAGCATGTGTTGGCTAACAGCTCCAATAGTGAATGAGATGCCAGGCCTAATAAAAATAAAATAAATTAGCTTGTTGAAATTAGGATGAACCAAGAAATTCTCACATTTTCTTAGCTATACTGTAAAACATGACAATTGAGGCAATTGAGGGTTTGAGACTGTTGAGCAATCTTGTAAGAACATAACTAGATGCTTGCCATTTAGACAACTTGATGGTGTTGTTGTTGTTTGAAAGAGATGTATGAAGATGTTGGAGTTTATCAAGAAAATCAATAAGAAAACTATAGGTCTTTAATCATAAGAGATGTTTAGTACCATTAAATTTGATTGCTGTAACGATGGTGGAGGGTTTGGTCTCATGGAAGCCAAGGCGACATGAGGAAAGAGGTACATAGAATCTAAAAGGAATTCAATTCACGAAGAATAATGAACTTGATTTAGTGCGTTCTTATAATCTTTGAAGTCGTCAGATAGGAATTATTCCCATCTTTGTGATCTCATATCTAATTGGCACAAGCAATTAAGAGGCAGAATCAAGCACAAAGTTATGATGCTCGGTGTCACACAAATATCACCTTATCCGAATTTCCCCATGAAACGACAATAAAATTCAATACTTATATTGAAGTAGCGCAACCAAGTCATTGCTCGAGATTCTGTCAAGATTGGTTGAACTGATAGTAGCTTTTCAGAAATTGTGAAAGGACCAGGTTGTTTATTCTTTTTTTATTTTTAAATATTGTGTTATATTATGTGTGAGATATTTTTAAATGAGATGTCCAATGATATTGTTCTCATTAGATCAACTTGTAAATTTGAATATTGCTTCTGATGTGTGACTACAATGCTTTTTATTTTCGAGATATTACTCCCTTGTTATTGTAGGTTGATGGATGCTTTCAGTGGTTATTGGATTCTTTACGATATTCTCTTTGGTTCTTTTATGTTTTATGTATCATTATTGTTATATGTGGGAATTCTCTTTCGTTATAAGCATTGCACGAATTTCTTGTTGCTCTTCAGGGTTTGTAAAGTGAGGTTTATTTGAGGTGGCCTTGTTTTGACTTTTGGCTTATAATGGGGGAATATTGTGTTGTTGAATTATGGGGGATATGATTCTATGAAGTGAACTATGAGGTTTTATTGGAATTTTAATTTTCAAAGCAAAGGTGAAAAATTTCAACCTTAGAGTCTAAAGGTTTTCATTTGAGCAGATCTAAAACCAAATTCATGGAGTTTAATTTTAATAGTAATAAATCTAGTGGGGGGATTGTTACTTTGGGCGATCTAGCCATTAAAAGGAGTACTCATTTTTGATATCTTGGATCTATTGTTTAAACTGATGGTGAAAATTGAAATAGATGGGAATATTATTTGTAGAATTCAAGTTGGATGGTTGAATTTGAGGAATGCATCGGGCCTGTTGTGTGATAGAAAAGTACCCCTCAAACTTAAGGGAAAATTTTATAAGATGGTGGTGAGACCTACAATGCTTTAAGGCGCAGTATGTTGGCCATTAAAAGAGAAGCATAAAATTAAGTTTAAGTGTTGTAGAGATGAGGATGCTCAAATAGATAAGTGACTTTACTCTTACAGACATAATGTAAAACAAGTATATACGTGAAAATGTTGGAGTAACTCCAGCGGCAGATAAGATTAGAAAGAGTCACCTTACATGCTTTGGTCACATAAAATGTCGACCTTTCGATAACTTAATTAGGAGAGTAGATGTGTTATATTTGGCCTATGTTAAGAAAGATAAAGGCGGACAAAAAAAACTTAGTTTGAAAGTATTAGAAATGACATATTTTTATCATATTTAAATAAGAATTTGGCTCTCAATAGGACAGAATAAAGAAAAATGATTCATATGACCAATCCCACATAGTGAGATAAAGGCTTGATGATGTTGTTGTTGTAAAGAAAATGTTGAAATTTGGGTATGTTATGGGATGATCAAATCGAATCTTAGTATTATCTGCAACCAATTAAGCAAATCTTGTACCAATCATGTCTACTAACCTTTGGAAAATGAGTATATAAATAGATGTTATGTGCATGCAAATCAATATCCTTAATTGAATAAAAATTCCTATAAAGTTGGATGTGATTTCTTCGAGTGCAGTAAGTGTGGCATCCTAGTTTCAAAGAAGTCATCTCCTTGTATTGGAGTGAGGCCTGAACTTCTTGCTTTGGTAGCTTCTTGTTTTTCGTATGTAATTACTTTTACTTATTTTGTTACCGTCTTGCTAGTATTATTGATTTGTTTCAATTTGATATAAGCGGGATTCAATTTTTGGTGATTAATTTACAATTTCTTATTGGTTTACATGGTTCAAATATCTTGCTAATTTTTTTTTAGATTTATTTAATTATTCTATTATCATTTATGTTTTAATTCTTACAATTATTATTTGTATTTAGAAAAGAAGCAAGCTTTTAGGTAAGTAGTATTTGGTGATCTTAGATTCCCAAGTCCCCTTGCATAATTTACATTCATTCTAGTTGCATTAGAAAATCCAAATCCTAAAACATTCCACATCAGCTTCCTTTCTGATATTAAGAATATATCATAAAAGGTTGAAGAAGCACTAAAAGACAAGTAGATGGATGGATCGAGTTTAAAAGAATATGCAGGGGTTATCAAAGGTAATGTGAGCAGAAGTTGTGCAGAGTAGATCTACATAAATTAGCTTAGATCCCTCATACAACCCTCCTAATATAGAAGGATTCATGTGAATGGGGTATGAAAATGATGATGATAGCTACGAAACATATTGCTGATTAAGACTTTTTAGATAAAAGCGTAGTTAACTTAGGCTTCGTTTGGGATGGCTTTCTTACTGCTTTTTATATCAGCTTTTTTAGTTAAAAAAATTAATTTTTGCACTAAAAAGCTACTTTAAGATGCAATAAGAAAGCCGTTCCAAACGAAGACTTAAAGTATAATATATTGATTGATAGGCTTTATGCTGCCAAAATTATCGTATTATTTGATCATCTATTTTTAAGTTGGTAGATCTAGTTAGTGCATTTAAGTGAAAGGCATTATATTTGCATTTTTCTTATAAATGAGGCACTACTGCAAATGTAATCCAAATGTGGTAGAACTCAGGTTGTCAAAATGCTTCTGTGCCGATGCCGAACGTTGTTCAGAGACCAACCAAAATGCGCCACATCACCCTATGCTCAGTACCGCTGATATGGCGCATTCAGGTTGGTCTCCGGATGGCGTTTTGCATCCGGTCTCCGCACAGAATAATTTCTCAATTACACGAGTATTATAATATAACGATGTGCTTGTTTGTTTGCTACTTGCAGGCTCTTCTGCGTATTTTAAGGGAGGGCGCGAATCACCATTCAAAGAGAGTTCATCCAATCCAATTCGTAATTTTGATATACCGATGAAATTCCTATCAAATACTCAATATTTTTACCATAATCTTTTAAACCCCTCTCTATTTTAAGATGTAGAATAAGTGTATTGCTTAATATTAGCAAACCTCTAACAAAATTACAGATTCACTACAGAACCCACCTGCAGGAAGCTCACTTCTTGCCTATCTTGATCATGTTAACTATCCTGCTTAAGCTTTCGTTACTTTTAAGGTTTGACCGTCAGTTTATTTGTGCAATGATTAGTAATTGTTTCTGCATCTTTATGTTGTATCGATTGCGTCCGCATTGTTCGCACATTTTCTCCATAAAGGATTGTTTATTTCTTCTTTCTATGGAGCGATCCATATGTTTTTATTGTATTATTTGAAATGGAATGATCTCTTTCATGATAAATTGGCACTTTGTGCTCAGTTTAATTTGTAGAATTGAATTTAAATTTGAGTTCGAGTACTAAGTTATTGCTTGCAGTGCTTGGATTTACGGGTGTTAGTGAAGCCGACTCAGTGAGCCAGCTCAAGCTCATAAATATTTTGCTCATGCAAATTTTGAGCTAGTTTAAACTTGACTCGTAAATTTTTAAGCTAGCTCGTTTAAAAATATTAATGTAAATTATATTATAACTTAATATTTTAAATGTAAAGTCAAAATATTTAAAAAAACATATTCCATTTTTTATAATAAATAATTAATTATTATTGCACGTGTAGTTTTTTATTCTTTTTATCATTTTATTGTAAGATTAAAACTCAAGTTTGCACTTGATTAATTAACCAAGCTTAAGCTCATCAACTCAAACTCAACTCATTTGGATTTGGACACCTAGTTGGGTTGATATATTTCCTAGAAAAGGGAAAAAATTATTTTTCATTAATACCTTTCGATTAAATAATTATTCTCATCAGGCCAATACAGCCAGCTATCGAATCTTATTGCATCTCCATATTTCTTTCTTGTTACTTTTATGTATCATCTATTTAATTTTCTTTTTCTTATATAAAAGTACAATGCATTTTTTAAGTAGCAAGAGAAATAAAGTTGCAATATATTTATCATATTTCAAGTAAAATGAATCTCATAATGATTATATTTATTAATTATTTTAACTTCATGCTTAAGTTTAAACAGACAAACAGTGTTAAATATAACGTCAAAACTGATCTAAAAAAAACAGAAAAAACAAAACAAGTAACAAGAGCTAACACCGAAAATTAAAAATTAAAAAAAAAAAGGAACCAAAGAGTTATTATCACAATATTCATTTACAATAGCAAGCAGAGGCAGTATATATAAGTGCAAGAATACCTTAAGCAGTTCCGGTGACACTGATTCTGAAAGGGGAGCCACGGCAGAAAATAGGGTCATCTGCTGAATCAGTTCTTGCTCGAGCACGAAGCACATCGTTTGGATCATCTATTACAGCGGCAGCCAGCAGAGTGTACTCTCCTGGCACCAGAAAATAGAGTGAAAAAGGATGCGCCACCTCCTCAAGGGGAGGGATCTCCAAGCTTATTCCAGTTAGAATACCTGGACAGAAATAAAAGCCATGAAAGAGTAAAAGATCGAATTTGGTACAAATCTTGTCTTTCATAGTTTTATGGACTCTGATGCCACCTTTTTTGTTACTTTTACAACTTTTTTATGATAAGTTTTTCACAACCAGAACTCTGCTAGAAAATTAAAGTTATAATAAAGCGATTCGTTCGAGTTATTTTGAGAAAAAAACTCTTCAGAACCTGATTTGCTGTTGTGCAGCAATTATAACAAAGCTACTATCCAACTTTATCTATAGGGAATAAGGTTTAGTTTGGGACAATTTTTTTGTTGATTTCTAAAACAGTTTTATAGTACAAAAATTTCTTGAATTAGAAACTTTATATTAGAAAGCTGTTTTAGGAAGCTGTCTCAAACGAAGCCTAAGTATATAAGCCTGTTTTTTTTTTTTTTTACCCAAAACAATAACATTACTAATTTTATATAGTCCCAAATGGGCCCTAAGCATGCCCGCCTATGCAGTCTACAAACAGTGTATCCGAAACCAATTAGGAAAATAAGGGAAACCACAATTGCCCATACTACAACAACAACAACACCAAGCCTTTGTCCCACTACATGGGGTCGGCTACATGAATCCTTTTTCTTCATTGTGTCATGTTAAAAGTCAAATTCTCATTTAAATCTAATAAAAAAGATAATTTCTAATATTTTCTAATCAAGTCTTTTTAGGTCTACCTCTACCTTTTTTAACATAAGTCAAATCTAATACCCTATTTTCCTAACCGGATCATCGGAAGACCGTCGTCTTATGTGACCAAACCCCATCTAAGGCGACTCTCTCTAATCTTATCTTCTACCGGAGCTACTCCAACCTTTTCATGTATATGCTCATTTCGTATCCTATCTGTAAGGGTAAAGCCACTCATACAATTGCCAATGTATGAGAAAAAAGGTTGGATGGCCTAATAAGCCTGCATGAAAGAAGCTAATCCTCGCATCGACAAATCTAGCGAAATGGAGGTCAGAAGCTAGACTAACGGTTATGAGACGATGAATACAACAGTTTGCTGTAAATCAAAATCTGTATAGGCTTACCAGCCCATAGAACGGTGGCATTATTCCCGTCAATGCAATTATCCCCAGCCACATCTCTGCAAGTTAAACTGAGGCTCATTCGGATTAACTCCCTTGTGTTATTGCGAATTAGAACTTCTAAGTCAATCATCTCATGAGCTGAGATAGAACTCCGGTACATTACTTTTATCGCATCACCGTTCACTTTTGTTGCATCATCAATATTATCTGTTCTGGATCTTCTATTCATTAACCTGAATACAAATGTTAAAGGATCTGGAAGTAAAATATCCATTACTGACATCTGCAAAGCTGCTTGAACAGCATCCTTAATGTTCAACTCCCCAGAACTATTCCGCCCAGATTGCCATCTAACTTTTATTTTTGAAACCAAGTTGGAAATAGAAGCAGCTAATTCAGCCTTGGAATTCCTCTCTGTAGAACTTGGAGATTTACTTATAAGAGCATCATTAGCCAGAAGATTCAGATTCTTTGCAAACAAGGAATTGTCCAGAATGGGCAATTTAAAGTGTTCGAGTGGTATCAAAACGCGCGCGGAGCAGTCGTGGTCAATTCTAGTCTTTGGGCACCCAAATTCAGCAGTGTCATGATCGACAGCTGCGAGATTGTTATCATTCATGGAAATGTCTAGTTGGATAGAAACATTAACATCAAACACGACATCGGTCGGATTTGATAACTCGAGCTCGAGAAGCCGCAGCTCCCAACTTCCCCTGTATGGATCAATCTTAACCAAGCTATCAATTCTACTAAATACAGTGATCTCTTCAGAACTATTATCATTAAGGGAAACTGGCTGTGGAGGGGTTTCACTGATACGTGCAGGAATTTCCATTGAAAGTAAGCGAGCCTTTACAAAACGCAATCCTTGTACAACACAAATATGCAATGGAACAACCAAGCGCCTTCCTGGTGATACAGAAGCTTCACTGGAATTCAAGTCATCTGTATTTGACATCGGCCCTGATAAGAAAATGGAGAGATAATGGGTCAACATTTTGCCTATCATTTATAATTAATCCTTTCATGCATAAATCACTTAACATTAAACCTAAATTTTATCTTAAAAGGCACACAAAGCAAGAGATAGTAGATACTCGGTTAAAGAAGATTTGCAATCAAATAAACATTTCGGCCATTGTGATCATTAATTTTATCCTAAATATTTGGTGTAAATCTTAAGAATCTTCGTTCTCCAATAGGTATTCTTTAATTGAGATTTATTTGAGATTTTAAAACTACATTCTGTAGGACTTTTTGCACATATTATCTATGTTATTTAGATTAAAAAAAAAAATCTATGTTATTTAGCCTATTCCATTTCCTTTGCAATCCTTCCACATCAATTAATCTACTAATCTTATTGGAGCATCTTGTAAAACATGAACAATAACCATCATATCAACCAGAAAAAATGTGCAGCTCAATTAATAATTGGTACATTTTCGTCTGTTATCATAGGCAAAAACCATTCAAATATATTACTAAAGTTTAGCAGCATATTTATTTACATGAGATAAAATCTCTAGCACTAAAGATTTAAAGTCAAATTTGTTGATCTGTTTTATTAAAAAAAAAAAGGTCAAAACAAATAAAAAAAATCCTCTGCCTAACCCTTCCAATGCCTACTTTCCATAATAGCTGCATACCCCAAGGCTCCCACTTATCCCATGATTCTCACTAATTCCCTGACAGTCCATCGCACCCACATCCTCTCTCGTTCTCTCGTCTTCGGTTAACCTTCCCTGCTCCGACCGAACTTCGTGAAACCCACAACAACAAAGAGTGAAGAAGTCACATATGAATTTGCTGGAGGAAGATATCAACGGGATTGCTGACTCAATCTCTTCAATGTGTTTCATTATGCGTGGATAAGATGAAGAGTAGATGTCCATAGAGAAGAAATTGTTTAAGGAGAAGAAGAAGCTTCACGAGGATAATGAATTCTTCGAAAGGATTGGAAGTCAGGAACAAGGCCAACATTGACCTTGTATCATCATCTATCGTTCCACTCTGGATCCTTGTCTCAAAGAGTTTAATAACTACCAATCATTTCTTTATCTTGATTCAATTTTGCCCTGAGCCCTATTAGGGCTTCCAAAATAAAGAAATGGTCTCAATAATGCCTTCCAGCAGTTTAGTGGTATGTGAACGAGAAAGCACAAAGTAGGAGAAGCTGCTTGAGTTGCGTAAAAAAAAAAAGCATGGTCATATAACTCAAGGAAATGAGGGAGTTTGTTGGTGGTTAAAGAAGTCATCAAATGAACATCAAACTCAATATTATTTGTTGCTACTTTGTATAGCAACATTTCCCTGTAACCTATAGCGGGGGTCTTGGTGATGTGGAGATGAAAACTCTCTCGCAGCATGTTTGTGAAGATAAAGAGACAAAAATTTTAACTTTAAATGTGGACTTGCGTTTCCAACAGCTTTGATGTGAAAAAAGTCAACCTCTCAAAATGAAGCGGCTTGATTTGGATTTATTTGATGCATTTCAAAGAAGCCTAAGTCTGAGGTTACGAAGGAGTGGGGTAAAAGTGAATGGGAGAATGTGCTCAATTTGCCTCGTTGTTGTCATTGTCTTGCTTGAGAAGGTATTAAAAAATGCGACCTTCAAAGTCCTCCAAAAATTTCAAATACGACAAGTTCAGGCGACTAGCACGGTTTTCTTAATGTTGTGGGAGAAACTTGTAGGTGGCCCTTACAACACAGTGGTTAAGCCCTGTGCGCACTTTTCTTAGCATGAGGAACAAATTCAAATATAAGTATCAGTACGCGTCATTCTTGGTGTTGCAAGAAAACATTGCAAGTTATAAATAGGTATACAAATACCCATTCACAACTTTCCTAGTGTGGTGCGTAGAAGACCTCAGGTCGCAATGTTTTACGACACAAACCCTGCATATCCTTATTGGTGTGGTGGGAAGACCTAGCACTCGAAGATATCCCACATAAAGGAAAGATGCCAGGAGACCATCAAAATACATAATAAACATGACTTGCATATAACTTAAAAAGAACAAAATAAAAAAAAGGATGTTGGACTGTATAGGTTACATGATAGATAAAATGAACAAAAAAAAATAGCAATATAAAAATTAAAATTAAAATTATGCAGCAACCATTAAAGGCAAACTGAACATACAGGTGACATGCAAGGAACTTAAAAGCCCAATTGCAAGTACAAAACCACTCACTATTATTAAGAACACTCTTGAACACTTGGAACCGTTGCAAAGAATACTCGGTGAACTGAATTTGAAATAAAAATGAAATATGATGAGCTCTTGTTTGTAGATTGAAATGTTGGTTAAAGAATATATTTGTAAAACGAGGTGCTATTGAGGAAGAATATACCTTACTTGCAACATATTTAATACTAAAATGCTCCGTATCAAGTTCACTAACAGGTGAAGATCAAGGTAATAATAATGATAAAAATTGAAAATCACTAAAATACCAACTTGAATTCAAAGTGGTCCGAATTAATTTGAGACAAGTATCAAATCACACACTAAATTCAATTTATTATTAAGTTAATTTCGAGTTAGGATTGGTCCCCTTGAAAAGCTAACTTGCATATAAACTATTTATATAGATAGATGGATATCACAATTTCTAAACATTTTTTTTTTCATTGCTTCAATGGTTTATACTGTCTTATTGTGTGTTAAAATGAGTGGTGGTGGTTCACTTGCCTACTTACACACCATTTTTTTTTTGGCTTAAGCATTTTGTGCTTGATACATTGGATCACCATCTTTTAGATCCAATGCCAAAATTTCTTATTATGTACATGAATTGAGTCTCCATCTTTGTCTTCCTCAATTTTTTTCAAGCATCATGCAGTGGGTCCTAGAGAGGGTTATGAGCAACTTGTCCGAGGTAAGGTTGCAATCAAAGAGATGTAGTCATCGTGATAGGCGAGGATCGTGAATGACATGCTCTTGATGAGGGTAGATAGCTGAGAGTAGTGAGGCATATGAGTCATGGGCAATGAAGGTCTTGATTCCAGTACAAAAGTCCATAAAACAGCCAACAAGGACATTGAAGGAGGTGATTGCCAGAGAAGAGACTCACAAGGGGAGGACTTGCAATCTACCAAGGTGATGATTCCTTACAGAGGAGCAAGTCCTCATGGTGGCAGTTGAAGACTTTGAAAGAGATGTTTTCGACGAGGGTGGAAGAGTTGCAGGCAACTGAGGCAATGATGGAAGTGCACAAGAGTTAGTCTGCAACTTATTTCAAATCCAAAGTTTTTCTTTAACTATTTTGAGTCTATTTTAAGTTATCTCTGAAAAGATTTTGAGTCAACTAGAAGTTGGATGGATTTCAAGTTGAGCTAGAGCTGAGCATTTATTTTTTATTTCAAAATCAATTTCAGCTTAACTAGCTCAAACTCTCTCAAAATCACCATATATGAAGCAAAATAATAATAATAACTGAATTAATTCAACAAAGTACTTGGCAATTACTTAACAAATCAGCAGAAAGTTTTTCCATTAAATGTATTATGCGAATAACAAAATAACTCTAGCAATGGGTCATTATTAATAAGAAGGGTGGATAGCATAAACACGATTCAGAAAAACTAGTGCGTTATACAAAGAATAAGTACACTATACATTACCAGCATAGTGGATAACTAAGAAAGGATTGCTTCCTTCCTTTGATACACCCCTCATAATTCCAGAAGTGCTCTTGCTAGGATCATGATCAGGATCTGCCAAGCTAAGCTTCCATGCTTTTATAATCACTGTGAGGATCACCTCTGCACCAGGTTTCAAAGGTAGGGCTGAATTTAAAGTTTCATGCGCAATAGACATAACAGAATTTTGATTTTTCCCTGACAATGATATATGTGCTTGTTCAATTGGCACTGTTCCAGCATTTGTTAGTCGAATCCGAATATCACGAATTTCACCTTCATACAAAATTGTTGTACCATCGCCCCCTACCACATAAGAAACCAGTAGTGGCAAGGGTGGTACCACTGAAATAGTTGGGACAGTAACATTTTTCAATTTTACAGATCCACAGCATCTGAAAGGATCAGAAAGAACAAGGCCTTGTGCTGCTCCAAGAAGCAAATTATCAACATCTCTGAAAAGATGCTCTGTGATAACGCCAAAACAATGCACAATGCATCCAGGAATTGTAACAGGACCTATCTTTGTTGGAATTCCTGACAACAAAATAACCTTGGCCGTGTTTGGTGGAAGATTTACACTTACAGGAAAAGCATCAAAGTTCCCAGAATGAATGCAAAGATAGATGCTCTCAACCATTAACTCAAAGGCACAGGGATTAGCCAATTCCACAAGAACTTGAACCGGTTCCCCAACAATCCATGTTAACTCCTGCTTATTACTGTCAGTTGTACCACCCTTGCTGAAAGGTGTGTAAATAAATGGGCCTGAAGGAGCAGAATCAGTCCACCAATCCTTTTTAGCTGGGTCCCTCTTAATTATCTCCATTTGGGAGGGATGAATTCGAAAGGAATGCAACCTGGAGGAAACAATAAGCAAGGTTTAGTACAAAAGTAGTGCCACATCGTAATAGCTTGCAGTATGTTCCATTGTGTTGCAACTACAAAAAAGTACCTTATTAAACTATAAACAAAATGAGCATACACAATCATCAGCAAATCTAAATCTGCAAATGCTAGAAATAAATTATATGAAGTCCAAGAATAATTAAACCCATAGCTAATAAAACAAATTTACTTAATAAACAAATTAAAAGGAGAAGAGAATGCATCAATACTGATCTTTATCATGCTAACTAATAATTAAGGTTGAGTCACGGTAATATGATTTCAAATATTGCAGTAATATGAATCAATGTGAAGTGTGATTTTAATCATCAGGCAGTCGACACAGTTAAAGCACAAGTAAATATCAGAGTATAAGGAAGTTCTAATGCAGGATCATAAAGTAGTTATAAGTTTGGAAGTGCATTAGTTCTGTTTATATGTTTTTATAATCTTGCTTAGCTTAAATGCTCAATCTTGTTGCCCAAGTGCCCCAGACATTTTTTCAACTTATGTTCATTTACGATCAAACTTAATTAACTTACAGCATAGCTGGTTTCACAAGAATTGCATAATCAATGAATAAGATGCAAGCGTTACATAACACTCTATATAAAAGTGTCTTATGTTCCTTTTGGCAAGTAAATTTTCCCATTGCTCCATCAATTTTATGGATCAAAATCAGATTTGAAGCTTTTCTGATGAAAGTTAAATAAACGAGCCATTATTCCCTCCTTTATATCTTGTTTTATCTACGTGGTGATTTGCATTGCAAAATATATCTATTCTTGCATCAATAATACTGAGTGATGATAGCCACAGCAGCCCAACATAATAATTGAATATAAAATTAAAGGAAACAGGAGCTAGAAAAAGGTATTAAAAGGAAATTGCAGACAATAACAGCTACTGAAACGAGGCAGAAGAAACGCAAGGAATATTATTATAAAGGTAGAATGAATGTATCACCCATTACTGCAGGTATTGAATCAGAAACTTAACTCAATCTTCTTATTCTAATTCAGTTTGGTTCTATTGTTGGAGGAGATCAATTTGGATAAAACTAAAGCATGTAAGTACAGTTATTAGATATGCATCAAGCTGATCTAACAAAAAATATAAAGACATATAAAGCATATTTAAGGATAAAAAAGTTTAAACTCTGTTGCAAACTTGTAACATCAAACATTGCATGATCACCTAAAGTCATGTAATGCATTTTTATCCATAACAAGTTTATGCCCTGTCGCTAAATTGTAACGCCAAACAATTTACAAGCGCTCATAAAAGGCATGCAATGCATATTTACGCATAGCAAGCTTATTATCTGTTGCTAACTCGTAACATCAAACTAAATAGTAAGAAAATTCTTCATGTATCTTCAGATCACAGAAACACAGAAACACTAACCAACTCAACTTCATCATCACTATAAGAATGGCATGCTAAATCTTTGTACCACAATTTATGATGGTAAAACAAGCAAAGTTTTGCATGTTTTTATTTTTCATTCAGTAGGATGAAACTTGCAAGACCTATAGATAGAAGGATACTTGCACTTGGGTCCATTCTTCAAGATCTTGAATCTCCCCAACATTATCTAAAGCTTCAAAAGCAGTATCAAATCTCGAATCAAAGTGCCATTACCTCTCCACATTTATATACTCCAACAAATCCTCATGATGAGGACATCAACAAGAGATTCTAGTGCATTTATCAAAGGAGGCAACGGAGATCGACGACTACGATCAGGAGCCTATATCTTTGACACATTTTATGTATTAGTTTATTTTTATTTCAGTTTTTATTATTTTACCCTTATGGGTGGTTATTTGAAGTTGCAACCCTCAGGGCATTTTAGTCATTGGTTTTTTTTTTATGTTGAGGCCTATATATAGGTCATCTCTATTGTATTTGGATGATGATGATAATGGAACTTGAGTTGCAAAATTCGGAATCCAGGAAAACAGCCCAAAAACAGTGGAAAAATAGAAGATTTCTTGGATGAAAACACTCACAAACACTTCGATTACTTAAATATCAAAAGACTTACAAGTTTCCACGGATACAATGCTCTCAATTCGAGAAGAGAAGCTTTCTCCCAAGCCCTAGATTAGAAAAACCTAAAACAGCCACCAAAACAAGATCCCTCCAAAACAAACCTTAACTCCCCTTTAACCCTCACATGATCCCCCCAAAATACCCTAATTACCCCTAGGGCAAACAAAACAAACTCCCTCTTACATTTGGTGGGCCCCTTGGGCCCACCTGACTCCTCCCTCTCCTTCGGCCGAACGCCCAGGCGGGGGTTTTCTCCGCCTGCAGTAGGCGAGAACCGGCCCCTTGTGGGCCGGTGCTGGGACGAGAGGTACAGGCATGATAAAGATCAACAGTATTTTCACCCTATTTCTCAGAACCAAAAAAGTGCATGAAAACTAGTTAATTCAATTCCTTTCACCATTTCGTTTCCCTTCTTTTGATTCCTTCAAACCAAACAGGGAGAACTAATGAAGGGACAATCTCATCATAAAAAAACTCTTACGATACAGGGATTAGCGAAAAAAAAAAAATCAGTATGAAATGATGAAGCGCTCCCAAAAAAACATTACAGAAATGACAGAAACCTAAATGAGAAAAAAAGGCATTCTTCATTACCTCGCTTGGCACCAAGGTCAGCCGAGGTGAAGCTGGCCGATTCTCCATCCCCAGTATGCTTGAATTCCTGCAGCTCCTTATGATTAAGCCATGGTTTCGTGCACACCTTTGCCTCGTAGAGCTTTTTAATCCCGGCATCTATCGCCTCCAAAGTGAGATGATAAAGAGTTCCCGCTACCACCTGCTCCTTGGCCTTCACCACACGAGCAAACTCCAGCAGAGCATTCTGCAACAACAAATCACCCCCAAGACGTCAAACCAAACCCTAGAAATTACAAACCCTAAAAAAACAAAAACATCGATCCAAGACCTACAGATCTCGACTATATCATAAGAAAATTCCGGATCAGAAAAAACTGCGAGGCGACCAGTTGAAAAAAAGTAATCCGAAGGGACAAAGAAATGCTTTTTATTAAAAAAAAAAAATTCCAAGAAAATAGACCGACCTCCTTCTTGTTGTGCTCGTGGACAGCGAAGCGGGCAAGCTCCTCGATCTCAACGCTGTTCTGATTATTCTCCACATCACGAACACCTCCCAGAGTAGCCATGGCGATCACTTGATCCTCGTCCCCTACGCCTTGGTGTAAACCGATTGCGAGAGCAAAAGAAGAAAAAAAGCACAAAAGAAAAACAACAGAACAATTCCCCAATGCACCCATTGCCTTCCCTTTATTCCTACTCAGCCCCTTATGTGTCTCTCTCTTCTTATCTCGCTGAGCTCTGTCTTAACCGCCATTCCCACAACTTTTTGCCAGCGGTTGTGAAGGAAGGCGGTCCTGCGGCCACGTGTCCAACACATGTGAACAATCTAACGGCTAGTTTCGGGCCTTTACTAGCGGATGTTCGTTGCTTATACAATACTTAGCTTAGGGTGCAAGCATGAATATTTAATGTCCCATTTATTTATTTATTTACGCAATTGAGAACTAAAGCTTAAAATTATTATAAATAAATATTTATTATATATGCAGCCCCTCATCTAAGAAAAAGGACCTCTGGCAAATCTAATAGTAAAATTCAATATGATAATCATCTTGATATATTAATTAATCAATTAAAAGTCTTTGGATTTGAATATTGTGTATATAATATATGTATGAATTTATCTTAATTATTTCAAAATAATAATAATAAAGTCCAACAGCTAAGATTTTATTTGGGACGACTTTTTATTGCTTATTAAAGCAGAATTTTAGTATAAAAAATTTAATTTTTTAACTAAAATTTTGTTTTAAAAAGCAATAAAAAAGTTGTCCCAAATGAAGCTTAAGACTTGCCGCTAAAGCCAAGAATATGATGAGAAGAATAAAGTAAAAGATAAAGGGAAGTGGGAAATTAGACCGCAACTCATCTAGATATGTTAGTTGGTTAGAAGTTTAGACTATTAATTAGAATTTTTTAAATTTGAAGTTTATATATGTGATATGTATTTGAATTTAAGTTTAATTTGTTCAATAATTAAAAAAAATTAATTATGTACTTTTGAGATAAAAGTAATCAGATATAACATTCAATTTTTCGTTTTTATATTTTGAGGACAATTATTTTAGTAAATAAAAAGTTAATCTCACTCTAAATTAAACTGTTAACAACTCTGATAGCTAATTCTCTTATGTTATATGCATGTCTTTGTTGATAGTTTTTCTTCATACTTTACTTTTACTGAATTTTTTAATAAAATTTATTGTTTTTTCACCCTCTTTTTTAACTTAATTATTTATGTATGTGATATAAGAAAAAAGTATTAGGACAATCAAGATTGATCTTTATTAACTTATATCAAGTTAATTTTTTTCTTATGAAATAATAATAAATAAAATAATTATATAAAAAATATTATTGGAAATAAATAAAATGAAAAATGAGAATTAGTGTTTGAATATTTTGACTTAAAATTTGATCAAAATAAATTTAAATTCTTTAGAGTAGCTCTAGTGGAGTGTAATTTTAATAGTAATGGATCTAGTGAGGGGATTGTGATTTTGAGCGATCAAGTCATTAATAAGTTTATTCATTTTAAATACTTGAGTATATTATTCAGAGTAATGGTGAAATAGATGGAAATATTATTAGTAGAATTCAAGTTGGATAGTTGAAGTGGAGGAATTCTTCAGGTTTGTTGTATGATAGAAAATTATAACTAAAATTTAAAGATTAGGAGATTTTCATATTGGATTTAGCTTATAATAGAGCTTTTTTAGAGGATATTTGATAGTAAGATGAAATAGTCTTATAGTTTTGGATTACATAAATTTTTGGAGTGCTGAATTCTGAAAAATATTTTGTTATTTGTTTATTAATATTAAAATTAGTATCAAATCCAGAGAATTGTTTGCATGCAAGATGATCTATTAAATCCTTAATTCCTATCAAATTTCTTAAATCTTGTTCTTGTTAGGATTTATTAAATCCAGGATTTAAGTTTTAATTTAACTACTGGATTATTTATATATTTTATCAAACTGTTTGGCTAAATTTATCATTAATTCAGTCTAAATTCAATTGCTAACAAGTGCCCCTTTTGATGATAGGACAACAACAACATCAAGCTTTTATCTCACTACGTGAGGTTGACTACATGAATCTTTTTTCTCCATTATGTCAAGTTAAAAATCAAATTCTCATTTAAATCTAATAAAGAAAGGTTATTTTTAATATTTTCTAACCAAGTCTTTTTAAGTCTACCTCTACCTTTCTTAACATAGGTAAAATCTAATACATCTACTTTCCTAACGTGGTCATTAGAAGGCTGCCGTTTTATGTGACCAAATCATCTAAGGTGGCTCTCTCTAATCTTATCTTCCACTGGAGCTACTCCAACCTTTTCACTTATATGCTCATTTCGTATCTTATCTCTAAGAGTAAAACCGCTCATCCACCTGAATATCCTCATCCCTGCAACGCCTACAACACTTAATAGGTGAACAAAAGGGCAGATAAATCTAAATTTGCACAAGATTTTACTCAATAAAATGACGTATTGATTGACACTTTAGAGTTTGATAGGAGGCACTCTAAACCTGTTACACTCAGAAGCAAATATATAAACATCTAAAGAAACAATTAGGAAACAGAATAACAAATGCTAAACTCTCTACAAAATGAGAGTTTTAGAAGGTATTTATAATTATATATGCTGTTATACCCTCATGAGATAGGAAAATTATTAGATCTAGACACCAGACATAGAGATACGTCCGGATATCCACTAAAAACTTGACACGTGTAGTGCACTTTAAATGCGCTTTTTGACTACGCTTTGACTTTGCTTTATTTGTGCTTTACCTACGTTTTACCTGCGCTTTACCCATGTTTTACCTGCCTTTTAGTTGCGCTTTAAGTGCGCTTTTTGACTCCACTTTATCTGTGCTTTAATTGCGCTTTTAGTTTGGCTTAAAGTACCGTAGACACATTAAACATATTGAATATCCACGCATCCACTCCATGTGTCAACATTTTATTGACTTCCGGACCTATCTCTAAGTCCAGTGTTCGGAGCTAATAATTTTCCCATGAGATAGGCTATTTTGTAATTCAATTTCATGATCTGTCAGGAAGGAAACCAAATCATTGCTCCAAATCCACCCTGAGTACTTTCACGGTAATCATAGCCATGCATGAAACAAGTATTTAAACTCCAAATAAGAAAAAGAAAACACCACCATTAAGTTTGTGATTAGTTACTAAACAGCTCATAAGTAACTATCTGCTACTAACAACAACAAAGACAAAGGAGCTAAAGCTTCAGACTAAAAATCCCTTCCACATTTTTGTGAACTTCCACCTTGTATTTCTCCTCCTTCCATCCTCTCCTCAGTCTAAGCAGTAAATCGAACTTAGCAAAGTCTTCAATCACCTGTCAGCCAAAAAATAATGAAGGAGAAAATCAGCAGCATTCAGGTAATGTTCAAAGAGCAGACAAAAACGTAGGAAGTGAAACCAAATCAATAGACTATTCGACCGCAGCTTTTGCATGTTGAATCTCAAGCAGCTCAAGTGTAACAATACAATCGCACATATTATTGATGGCCGTCACAGCATGGTTTGCTGCAGCCTGGACAACAGGATCATTGGTAGGAACAGCCCTCCATCCAGTTTCATGGCCATCTAACACCATTAGGCTTATTTAGTCTACGAAACAAAACAGTGAGGCAGGCCAAAAATTATTCAACCAGGTATGCTTCATTTCAGTATAAAGCTCTTTGACACACTTCTTTATAGTTCATAGCAAAAGAACTCTTTGCATAGGAATAATATCAAAAAGTTGATAAGTAATGACACAATGTCTACACATTTAAGGCGGAATTCACTTCCACAGCATTCTACAATTCATGAACTTGTTTATAAAGAACAGTAAATTAGATATTACATACCCAACCATGTGCACCTATATAAACTCTCTCTTTTGATAAAAGTAAAAAAAACTTGTAAAGATCATCCCAAACAATAATTTGATGGCCACCAAATTAGACATTTTGCAGAAATTTGATTTCATAAAAAAACATACTTTGATCAAAATTTACACCAAAGTTAAAAATATAGGTTGTACAAATCTTCTTGACCAAATCCAACATCAAATTTGATATTTTGCAGAAATTGGTATCTTAAAAAATTAAACTTTGATCAAAATTTACACTGAAATTATAAATCTAGATCATGCAAATCTCGACCAAATCCAATCAGGGCATGAGGCGATTAACCTAATCTTATTTTATGGTCATTTTGTTAGCGAACTGTCCACGTCATCATCTATGACGGGTCTTGTATTCCCTTGTAGTTATATATATATATATAACTTGACATTCATACTTTGGAATACTTTTTCTCATTTCTTCTTTCCATATTTGCTCTGTCCGTCTGCCCTTTACCGTTTCTCACATGGTATCAGAGCTTTGCCATGGCAGATCAAGAATCGGCTACCTCCCTCCCATCCTCTTCCTCTACTCTCTCAACTTCTCTTTCTAACCTTGTTATTCCCCCACCTCTCAATTTCTTGATCTCAAACATCAAGAATCTCGTTCCCACTCAGCTTACCTCCGACACGTATGCGAACTGGCGTCTTCAACTGCTCCAGCACTTCACTTGTGAATGGCTTTGTGGGACACCTAACGGCCGAAACTCCAATTCCGATTGATCCCACCAGCTCCGATTACAAACTATGGCATTTGATCGACAACAATCTCATCTCTGCACTCTTCTCAACCATTTCGCCTTTGATTCTTTCCTTTGTGCTTTCCTCCCCCGACGCTCACGAGATATGGTCGGTTCTTGAATGTCGATTGCAGCCCACGAACCGTTCTCAAGTTATCCAACTCAAGAACAAACTTCACAATATCAAGATGAAAAATTCATCTATGCAACAATACCTCGCTCAAATCAAGACAATCATCGATAACATCACTTCCTCCGGTTCTAAAATTGACATGACAGATATTATTCTTTATATCCTCAATGGCCTCCCGTCCAACTATAATTCTTTCAAATCGGCGATCCGAACCTCTTTATCCCATCGATCTTGACACTCTATTTGCTTCTTTGCAGCGAAAAGATCAATATCCAACAAGAACACCTTCAAGATTTCATTTCTTCCACTGAACCAATTCCCCTTTACACTAATGCCGCCTCTTCGGCTCGGGGACGTGGCCAACGACGATCTTTTAGGCAAGAACACCTTCTTTCGCCCGCCCGTCTCTCCTCCGTCGCAACCGTCACATTCTATCTCTGACCGTCCAACTTGCCAAATATGCGGCAAACCTGTACACATTGCTATCAACTGTTGGCATCGTTGTAATTTTAAGTACACTCCAACCATTTCTTGGATGCCTCATGCGCTAATGGCTCGATCTCCTTCCATTGCTACTCAAGACTGGGTTGTTGATTCTAGTGCTACCACCCATCTTACTCCAGACAATTAATACAAATCTTTATTAAACCGCTTCATTCCAGGGATCTGACACGGTATCCACAGCTAACGGCAAACTTCAAAAATCTATATATGGTCTCAAACAAGCACCTCGACAATGGTTACAGAAATTTACCAACTTTCTTCTCAACCTTGGCTTCAAGTTCAGTCGTTCCGACCCTTCTTTGCTTCTATTTCAACGCAACAATATTCAAATTTACATACTAATCTATGTTGATGATATTCTTGTCATAGGAAACGAATCTCTTCTCCATAAACTATAGTCTCACTTTGCTCTCAAACAGCTTGGTCAAATTTCTTTATTTCTCGGTATATAGGTTATTCGCACAAATTCTAGAATTTTTCTCAATCATATTCACTACGCTACAAAGCTGCTACAATCCGCATGATTTGCATACTGTAAGTCAACACCGACTCTAATTACACCAAAGAACAGCCACTGCTCCAGCTCCGTTCAACTTTTTTCCTATCCCTAACTCTACCGCAGACTCGCTGGTTCACTTCAATATCTATCAATCACTCGACCAGACATCCCTTTTGCCACTAATTCTATCTGCCAACATATGCAAGCTCCAACCAATCAAGACTATCAAGCACTCAAACATCTTCTACGCTACATCAAAGGCACTCTATCCTTCAGTCTTCCTCTCACGATAGGCGATATTCAGCTCAAAGCTTATGCAGACGTGGACTGGGCATCAGACTCGACTGACCGGAAATCAATTTCCGATTTTTGCACATTCCTTGGCAACAATCTCATATCTTGGTCTGTCAAAAAGCAAGTTACCGTTGCCAAATCTTCAACTAAAGCTGAGTATAGGTGGCTCTCATTGGCTAAAGAAAGAGATAAAGGAAGGAGAAAGAGCGGGAATTAGGCATAGGCTAGGGACGAGAGATCAAGAGAGAGAGGTGACGGATGCGAATAAAGGAGATGGGTGGGGCTGTGGACGACTTGCGAAGAGATGGGGATGACCTGCGCGGTAAGGGAGGACGTGGGACGAGAGGTACAGGCATGATAAAGATCAACAGTATTTTCACCCTATTTCTCAGAACCAAAAAAGTGCATGAAAACTAGTTAATTCAATTCCTTTCACCATTTCGTTTCCCTTCTTTTGATTCCTTCAAACCAAACAGGGAGAACTAATGAAGGGACAATCTCATCATAAAAAAACTCTTACGATACAGGGATTAGCGAAAAAAAAAAAATCAGTATGAAATGATGAAGCGCTCCCAAAAAAACATTACAGAAATGACAGAAACCTAAATGAGAAAAAAAGGCATTCTTCATTACCTCGCTTGGCACCAAGGTCAGCCGAGGTGAAGCTGGCCGATTCTCCATCCCCAGTATGCTTGAATTCCTGCAGCTCCTTATGATTAAGCCATGGTTTCGTGCACACCTTTGCCTCGTAGAGCTTTTTAATCCCGGCATCTATCGCCTCCAAAGTGAGATGATAAAGAGTTCCCGCTACCACCTGCTCCTTGGCCTTCACCACACGAGCAAACTCCAGCAGAGCATTCTGCAACAACAAATCACCCCCAAGACGTCAAACCAAACCCTAGAAATTACAAACCCTAAAAAAACAAAAACATCGATCCAAGACCTACAGATCTCGACTATATCATAAGAAAATTCCGGATCAGAAAAAACTGCGAGGCGACCAGTTGAAAAAAAGTAATCCGAAGGGACAAAGAAATGCTTTTTATTAAAAAAAAAAAATTCCAAGAAAATAGACCGACCTCCTTCTTGTTGTGCTCGTGGACAGCGAAGCGGGCAAGCTCCTCGATCTCAACGCTGTTCTGATTATTCTCCACATCACGAACACCTCCCAGAGTAGCCATGGCGATCACTTGATCCTCGTCCCCTACGCCTTGGTGTAAACCGATTGCGAGAGCAAAAGAAGAAAAAAAGCACAAAAGAAAAACAACAGAACAATTCCCCAATGCACCCATTGCCTTCCCTTTATTCCTACTCAGCCCCTTATGTGTCTCTCTCTTCTTATCTCGCTGAGCTCTGTCTTAACCGCCATTCCCACAACTTTTTGCCAGCGGTTGTGAAGGAAGGCGGTCCTGCGGCCACGTGTCCAACACATGTGAACAATCTAACGGCTAGTTTCGGGCCTTTACTAGCGGATGTTCGTTGCTTATACAATACTTAGCTTAGGGTGCAAGCATGAATATTTAATGTCCCATTTATTTATTTATTTACGCAATTGAGAACTAAAGCTTAAAATTATTATAAATAAATATTTATTATATATGCAGCCCCTCATCTAAGAAAAAGGACCTCTGGCAAATATAATAGTAAAATTCAATATGATAATCATCTTGATATATTAATTAATCAATTAAAAGTCTTTGGATTTGAATATTGTGTATATAATATATGTATGAATTTATCTTAATTATTTCAAAATAATAATAATAAAGTCCAACAGCTAAGATTTTATTTGGGACGACTTTTTATTGCTTATTAAAGCAGAATTTTAGTATAAAAAAATTATTTTTTTAACTAAAATTTTGTTTTAAAAAGCAATAAAAAAGTTGTCCCAAATGAAGCTTAAGACTTGCCGCTAAAGCCAAGAATATGATGAGAAGAATAAAGTAAAAGATAAAGGGAAGTGGGAAATTAGACCGCAACTCATCTAGATATGTTAGTTGGTTAGAAGTTTAGACTATTAATTAGAATTTTTTAAATTTGAAGTTTATATATGTGATATGTATTTGAATTTAAGTTTAATTTGTTCAATAATTAAAAAAAATTAATTATGTACTTTTGAGATAAAAGTAATCAGATATAACATTCAATTTTTCGTTTTTATATTTTGAGGACAATTATTTTAGTAAATAAAAAGTTAATCTCACTCTAAATTAAACTGTTAACAACTCTGATAGCTAATTCTCTTATGTTATATGCATGTCTTTGTTGATAGTTTTTCTTCATACTTTACTTTTACTGAATTTTTTAATAAAATTTATTGTTTTTTCACCCTCTTTTTTAACTTAATTATTTATGTATGTGATATAAGAAAAAAGTATTAGGACAATCAAGATTGATCTTTATTAACTTATATCAAGTTAATTTTTTTCTTATGAAATAATAATAAATAAAATAATTATATAAAAAATATTATTGGAAATAAATAAAATGAAAAATGAGAATTAGTGTTTGAATATTTTGACTTAAAATTTGATCAAAATAAATTTAAATTCTTTAGAGTAGCTCTAGTGGAGTGTAATTTTAATAGTAATGGATCTAGTGAGGGGATTGTGATTTTGAGCGATCAAGTCATTAATAAGTTTATTCATTTTAAATACTTGAGTATATTATTCAGAGTAATGGTGAAATAGATGGAAATATTATTAGTAGAATTCAAGTTGGATAGTTGAAGTGGAGGAATTCTTCAGGTTTGTTGTATGATAGAAAATTATAACTAAAATTTAAAGATTAGGAGATTTTCATATTGGATTTAGCTTATAATAGAGCTTTTTTAGAGGATATTTGATAGTAAGATGAAATAGTCTTATAGTTTTGGATTACATAAATTTTTGGAGTGCTGAATTCTGAAAAATATTTTGTTATTTGTTTATTAATATTAAAATTAGTATCAAATCCAGAGAATTGTTTGCATGCAAGATGATCTATTAAATCCTTAATTCCTATCAAATTTCTTAAATCTTGTTCTTGTTAGGATTTATTAAATCCAGGATTTAAGTTTTAATTTAACTACTGGATTATTTATATATTTTATCAAACTGTTTGGCTAAATTTATCATTAATTCAGTCTAAATTCAATTGCTAACAAGTGCCCCTTTTGATGATAGGACAACAACAACATCAAGCTTTTATCTCACTACGTGAGGTTGACTACATGAATCTTTTTTCTCCATTATGTCAAGTTAAAAATCAAATTCTCATTTAAATCTAATAAAGAAAGGTTATTTTTAATATTTTCTAACCAAGTCTTTTTAAGTCTACCTCTACCTTTCTTAACATAGGTAAAATCTAATACATCTACTTTCCTAACGTGGTCATTAGAAGGCTGCCGTTTTATGTGACCAAATCATCTAAGGTGGCTCTCTCTAATCTTATCTTCCACTGGAGCTACTCCAACCTTTTCACTTATATGCTCATTTCGTATCTTATCTCTAAGAGTAAAACCGCTCATCCACCTGAATATCCTCATCCCTGCAACGCCTACAACACTTAATAGGTGAACAAAAGGGCAGATAAATCTAAATTTGCACAAGATTTTACTCAATAAAATGACGTATTGATTGACACTTTAGAGTTTGATAGGAGGCACTCTAAACCTGTTACACTCAGAAGCAAATATATAAACATCTAAAGAAACAATTAGGAAACAGAATAACAAATGCTAAACTCTCTACAAAATGAGAGTTTTAGAAGGTATTTATAATTATATATGCTGTTATACCCTCATGAGATAGGAAAATTATTAGATCTAGACACCAGACATAGAGATACGTCCGGATATCCACTAAAAACTTGACACGTGTAGTGCACTTTAAATGCGCTTTTTGACTACGCTTTGACTTTGCTTTATTTGTGCTTTACCTACGTTTTACCTGCGCTTTACCCATGTTTTACCTGCCTTTTAGTTGCGCTTTAAGTGCGCTTTTTGACTCCACTTTATCTGTGCTTTAATTGCGCTTTTAGTTTGGCTTAAAGTACCGTAGACACATTAAACATATTGAATATCCACGCATCCACTCCATGTGTCAACATTTTATTGACTTCCGGACCTATCTCTAAGTCCAGTGTTCGGAGCTAATAATTTTCCCATGAGATAGGCTATTTTGTAATTCAATTTCATGATCTGTCAGGAAGGAAACCAAATCATTGCTCCAAATCCACCCTGAGTACTTTCACGGTAATCATAGCCATGCATGAAACAAGTATTTAAACTCCAAATAAGAAAAAGAAAACACCACCATTAAGTTTGTGATTAGTTACTAAACAGCTCATAAGTAACTATCTGCTACTAACAACAACAAAGACAAAGGAGCTAAAGCTTCAGACTAAAAATCCCTTCCACATTTTTGTGAACTTCCACCTTGTATTTCTCCTCCTTCCATCCTCTCCTCAGTCTAAGCAGTAAATCGAACTTAGCAAAGTCTTCAATCACCTGTCAGCCAAAAAATAATGAAGGAGAAAATCAGCAGCATTCAGGTAATGTTCAAAGAGCAGACAAAAACGTAGGAAGTGAAACCAAATCAATAGACTATTCGACCGCAGCTTTTGCATGTTGAATCTCAAGCAGCTCAAGTGTAACAATACAATCGCACATATTATTGATGGCCGTCACAGCATGGTTTGCTGCAGCCTGGACAACAGGATCATTGGTAGGAACAGCCCTCCATCCAGTTTCATGGCCATCTAACACCATTAGGCTTATTTAGTCTACGAAACAAAACAGTGAGGCAGGCCAAAAATTATTCAACCAGGTATGCTTCATTTCAGTATAAAGCTCTTTGACACACTTCTTTATAGTTCATAGCAAAAGAACTCTTTGCATAGGAATAATATCAAAAAGTTGATAAGTAATGACACAATGTCTACACATTTAAGGCGGAATTCACTTCCACAGCATTCTACAATTCATGAACTTGTTTATAAAGAACAGTAAATTAGATATTACATACCCAACCATGTGCACCTATATAAACTCTCTCTTTTGATAAAAGTAAAAAAAACTTGTAAAGATCATCCCAAACAATAATTTGATGGCCACCAAATTAGACATTTTGCAGAAATTTGATTTCATAAAAAAACATACTTTGATCAAAATTTACACCAAAGTTAAAAATATAGGTTGTACAAATCTTCTTGACCAAATCCAACATCAAATTTGATATTTTGCAGAAATTGGTATCTTAAAAAATTAAACTTTGATCAAAATTTACACTGAAATTATAAATCTAGATCATGCAAATCTCGACCAAATCCAATCAGGGCATGAGGCGATTAACCTAATCTTATTTTATGGTCATTTTGTTAGCGAACTGTCCACGTCATCATCTATGACGGGTCTTGTATTCCCTTGTAGTTATATATATATATATAACTTGACATTCATACTTTGGAATACTTTTTCTCATTTCTTCTTTCCATATTTGCTCTGTCCGTCTGCCCTTTACCGTTTCTCACATGGTATCAGAGCTTTGCCATGGCAGATCAAGAATCGGCTACCTCCCTCCCATCCTCTTCCTCTACTCTCTCAACTTCTCTTTCTAACCTTGTTATTCCCCCACCTCTCAATTTCTTGATCTCAAACATCAAGAATCTCGTTCCCACTCAGCTTACCTCCGACACGTATGCGAACTGGCGTCTTCAACTGCTCCAGCACTTCACTTGTGAATGGATTTGTTGGACACCTAACGGCCGAAACTCCAATTCCGATTGATCCCACCAGCTCCGATTACAAACTATGGCATTTGATCGACAACAATCTCATCTCTGCACTCTTCTCAACCATTTCGCCTTTGATTCTTTCCTTTGTGCTTTCCTCCCCCGACGCTCACGAGATATGGTCGGTTCTTGAATGTCGATTGCAGCCCACGAACCGTTCTCAAGTTATCCAACTCAAGAACAAACTTCACAATATCAAGATGAAAAATTCATCTATGCAACAATACCTCGCTCAAATCAAGACAATCATCGATAACATCACTTCCTCCGGTTCTAAAATTGACATGACAGATATTATTCTTTATATCCTCAATGGCCTCCCGTCCAACTATAATTCTTTCAAATCGGCGATCCGAACCTCTTTATCCCATCGATCTTGACACTCTATTTGCTTCTTTGCAGCGAAAAGATCAATATCCAACAAGAACACCTTCAAGATTTCATTTCTTCCACTGAACCAATTCCCCTTTACACTAATGCCGCCTCTTCGGCTCGGGGACGTGGCCAACGACGATCTTTTAGGCAAGAACACCTTCTTTCGCCCGCCCGTCTCTCCTCCGTCGCAACCGTCACATTCTATCTCTGACCGTCCAACTTGCCAAATATGCGGCAAACCTGTACACATTGCTATCAACTGTTGGCATCGTTGTAATTTTAAGTACACTCCAACCATTTCTTGGATGCCTCGTGCGCTAATGGCTCGATCTCCTTCCATTGCTACTCAAGACTGGGTTGTTGATTCTAGTGCTACCACCCATCTTACTCCAGACAATTAATACAAAGCTTTATTAAACCGCTTCATTCCAGGGATCTGACACGGTATCCACAGCTAACGGCAAACTTCAAAAATCTATATATGGTCTCAAACAAGCACCTCGACAATGGTTACAGAAATTTACCAACTTTCTTCTCAACCTTGGCTTCAAGTTCAGTCGTTCCGACCCTTCTTTGCTTCTATTTCAACGCAACAATATTCAAATTTACATACTAATCTACGTTGATGATATTCTTGTCACAGGAAACGAATCTCTTCTCCATAAACTATAGTCTCACTTTGCTCTCAAACAGCTTGGTCAAATTTCTTTATTTCTCGGTATATAGGTTATTCGCACAAATTCTAGAATTTTTCTCAATCATATTCACTACGCTACAAAGCTGCTACAATCCGCATGATTTGCATACTGTAAGTTCACACCGACTCTAATTACACCAAAGAACAGCCACTGCTCCAGCTCCGTTCAACTTTTTTCCTATCCCTAACTCTACCGCAGACTCGCTGGTTCAATTCAATATCTATCAATCACTCGACCAGACATCCCTTTTGCCACTAATTCTATCTGCCAACATATGCAAGCTCCAACCAATCAAGACTATCAAGCACTCAAACATCTTCTACGCTACATCAAAGGCACTCTATCCTTCAGTCTTCCTCTCACGATAGGCGATATTCAGCTCAAAGCTTATGCAGACGTGGACTGGGCATCAGACTCGACTGACCGGAAATCAATTTCCGATTTTTGCACATTCCTTGGCAACAATCTCATATCTTGGTCTGTCAAAAAGCAAGTTACCGTTGCCAAATCTTCAACTAAAGCTGAGTATAGGTGGCTCTCATTGGCTAAAGAAAGAGATAAAGGAAGGAGAAAGAGCGGGAATTAGGCATAGGCTAGGGACGAGAGATCAAGAGAGAGAGGTGACGGATGCGAATAAAGGAGATGGGTGGGGCTGTGGACGACTTGCGAAGAGATGGGGATGACCTGCGCGGTAAGGGAGGACGTGGGACGAGAGGTACAGGCATGATAAAGATCAACAGTATTTTCACCCTATTTCTCAGAACCAAAAAAGTGCATGAAAACTAGTTAATTCAATTCCTTTCACCATTTCGTTTCCCTTCTTTTGATTCCTTCAAACCAAACAGGGAGAACTAATGAAGGGACAATCTCATCATAAAAAAACTCTTACGATACAGGGATTAGCGAAAAAAAAAAAATCAGTATGAAATGATGAAGCGCTCCCAAAAAAACATTACAGAAATGACAGAAACCTAAATGAGAAAAAAAGGCATTCTTCATTACCTCGCTTGGCACCAAGGTCAGCCGAGGTGAAGCTGGCCGATTCTCCATCCCCAGTATGCTTGAATTCCTGCAGCTCCTTATGATTAAGCCATGGTTTCGTCCACACCTTTGCCTCGTAGAGCTTTTTAATCCCAGCATCGATCGCCTCCAAAGTGAGATGATGAAGAGTTCCCGCTACCACCTGCTCCTTGGCCTTCACCACACGAGCAAACTCCAGCAGAGCATTCTGCAACAACAAATCACCCCCAAGACGTCAAACCAAACCCTAGAAATTACAAACCCTAAAAAAACAAAAACATCGATCCAAGACCTACAGATCTCGACTATATCATAAGAAAATTCCGGATCAGAAAAAACTGCGAGGCGACCAGTTGAAAAAAAGTAATCCGAAGGGACAAAGAAATGCTTTTTATTAAAAAAAAAAAATTCCAAGAAAATAGACCGACCTCCTTCTTGTTGTGCTCGTGGACAGCGAAGCGGGCAAGCTCCTCGATCTCAACGCTGTTCTGATTATTCTCCACATCACGAACACCTCCCAGAGTAGCCATGGCGATCACTTGATCCTCGTCCCCTACGCCTTGGTGGAAACCGATTGCGAGAGCAAAAGAAGAAAAAAAGCACAAAAGAAAAACAACAGAACAATTCCCCAATGCACCCATTGCCTTCCCTTTATTCCTACTCAGCCCCTTATGTGTCTCTCTCTTCTTATCTCGCTGAGCTCTGTCTTAACCGCCATTCCCACAACTTTTTGCCAGCGGTTGTGAAGGAAGGCGGTCCTGCGGCCACGTGTCCGACACATGTGAACAATCTAACGGCTAGTTTCGGGCCTTTACTAGCGGATGTTCGTTGCTTATACAATACTTAGCTTAGGGTGCAAGCATGAATATTTAATGTCCCATTTATTTATTTATTTACGCAATTGAGAACTAAAGCTTAAAATTATTATAAATAAATATTTATTATATATGCAGCCCCTCATCTAAGAAAAAGGACCTCTGGCAAATCTAATAGTAAAATTCAATATGATAATCATCTTGATATATTAATTAATCAATTAAAAGTCTTTGGATTTGAATATTGTGTATATAATATATGTATGAATTTATCTTAATTATTCCAAAATAATAATAATAAAATCCAAGAGTTAAGATTTTATTTGGGACAACTTTTTATTGCTTATTAAAGCAGAATTTTAGTATAAAAAATTTAATTTTTTAACTAAAATTTTGTTTTAAAAAGCAATAAAAAAGTTGTCCCAAATGAAGCTTAAGACTTGCCGCTAAAGCCAAGAATATGATGAGAAGAATAAAGTAAAAGATAAAGGGAAGTGGGAAATTAGACCGCAACTCATCTAGATATGTTAGTTGGTTAGAAGTTTAGACTATTAATTAGAATTTTTTAAATTTGAAGTTTATATATGTGATATGTATTTGAATTTAAGTTTAATTTGTTCAATAATTAAAAAAAATTAATTATGTACTTTTGAGATAAAAGTAATCAGATATAACATTCAATTTTTCGTTTTTATATTTTGAGGACAATTATTTTAGTAAATAAAAAGTTAATCTCACTCTAAATTAAACTGTTAACAACTCTGATAGCTAATTCTCTTATGTTATATGCATGTCTTTGTTGATAGTTTTTCTTCATACTTTACTTTTACTGAATTTTTTAATAAAATTTATTGTTTTTTCACCCTCTTTTTTAACTTAATTATTTATGTATGTGATATAAGAAAAAAGTATTAGGACAATCAAGATTGATCTTTATTAACTTATATCAAGTTAATTTTTTTCTTATGAAATAATAATAAATAAAATGATTATATAAAAAATATTATTGGAAATAAAGAAAATGAAAAAGGAGAATTGGTGTTTGAATATTTTGACTTAAAATTTGATCAAAATAAATTTAAATTCTTTAGAGTAGCTCTAGTGGAGTGTAATTTTAATAGTAATGGATCTAGTGAGGGGATTGTGATTTTGAGCGATCAAGTCATTAATAAGTTTATTCATTTTAAATACTTGAGTATATTATTCAGAGTAATGGTGAAATAGATGGAAATATTATTAGTAGAATTCAAGTTGGATAGTTGAAGTGGAGGAATTCTTCAGGTTTGTTGTATGATAGAAAATTATAACTAAAATTTAAAGATTAGGAGATTTTCATATTGGATTTAGCTTATAATAGAGCTTTTTTAGAGGATATTTGATAGTAAGATGAAATAGTCTTATAGTTTTGGATTACATAAATTTTTGGAGTGCTGAATTCTGAAAAATATTTTGTTATTTGTTTATTAATATTAAAATTAGTATCAAATCCAGAGAATTGTTTGCATGCAAGATGATCTATTAAATCCTTAATTCCTATCAAATTTCTTAAATCTTGTTCTTGTTAGGATTTATTAAATCCAGGATTTAAGTTTTAATTTAACTACTGGATTATTTATATATTTTATCAAACTGTTTGGCTAAATTTATCATTAATTTAGTCTAAATTCAATTGCTAACAAGTGCCCCTTTTGATGATAGGACAACAACAACATCAAGCTTTTATCTCACTACGTGAGGTTGACTACATGAATCTTTTTTCTCCATTATGTCAAGTTAAAAATCAAATTCTCATTTAAATCTAATAAAGAAAGGTTATTTTTAATATTTTCTAACCAAGTCTTTTTAAGTCTACCTCTACCTTTCTTAACATAGGTAAAATCTAATACATCTACTTTCCTAACGTGGTCATTAGAAGGCTGCCGTTTTATGTGACCAAATCATCTAAGGTGGCTCTCTCTAATCTTATCTTCCACTGGAGCTACTCCAACCTTTTCACTTATATGCTCATTTCGTATCTTATCTCTAAGGATAAAACCACTCATCCACCTGAATATCCTCATCCCTGCAACACTTTATAGGTAAACAAAAGGGCAGATAAATCTAAATTTGCACAAGATTTTACTCAATAAAATGACGTATTGATTGACACTTTAGAGTTTGATAGGAGGCACTCTAAACCTGTTACACTCAGAAGCAAATATATAAACATCTAAAGAAACAATTAGGAAACAGAATAACAAATGCTAAACTCTCTACAAAATGAGAGTTTTAGAAGGTATTTATAATTATATATGCTGTTATACCCTCATGAGATAGGAAAATTATTAGATCTAGACACCAGACATAGAGATACGTCCGGATATCCACTAAAAACTTGACACGTGTAGTGCACTTTAAATGCGCTTTTTGACTACGCTTTGACTTTGCTTTATTTGTGCTTTACCTACGTTTTACCTGCGCTTTACCCATGTTTTACCTGCCTTTTAGTTGCGCTTTAAGTGCGCTTTTTGACTCCACTTTATCTGTGCTTTAATTGCGCTTTTAGTTTGGCTTAAAGTACCGTAGACACATTAAACATATTGAATATCCACGCATCCACTCCATGTGTCAACATTTTATTGACTTCCGGACCTATCTCTAAGTCCAGTGTTCGGAGCTAATAATTTTCCCATGAGATAGGCTATTTTGTAATTCAATTTCATGATCTGTCAGGAAGGAAACCAAATCATTGCTCCAAATCCACCCTGAGTACTTTCACGGTAATCATAGCCATGCATGAAACAAGTATTTAAACTCCAAATAAGAAAAAGAAAACACCACCATTAAGTTTGTGATTAGTTACTAAACAGCTCATAAGTAACTATCTGCTACTAACAACAACAAAGACAAAGGAGCTAAAGCTTCAGACTAAAAATCCCTTCCACATTTTTGTGAACTTCCACCTTGTATTTCTCCTCCTTCCATCCTCTCCTCAGTCTAAGCAGTAAATCGAACTTAGCAAAGTCTTCAATCACCTGTCAGCCAAAAAATAATGAAGGAGAAAATCAGCAGCATTCAGGTAATGTTCAAAGAGCAGACAAAAACGTAGGAAGTGAAACCAAATCAATAGACTATTCGACCGCAGCTTTTGCATGTTGAATCTCAAGCAGCTCAAGTGTAACAATACAATCGCACATATTATTGATGGCCGTCACAGCATGGTTTGCTGCAGCCTGGACAACAGGATCATTGGTAGGAACAGCCCTCCATCCAGTTTCATGGCCATCTAACACCATTAGGCTTATTTAGTCTACGAAACAAAACAGTGAGGCAGGCCAAAAATTATTCAACCAGGTATGCTTCATTTCAGTATAAAGCTCTTTGACACACTTCTTTATAGTTCATAACAAAAGAACTCTTTGCATAGGAATAACACCAAAAAGTTGATAAGTAATGACACAATGTCTACATATTTAAGGCAACCTTATTCACTTCCATAGCCTAATACAATTCATGAACTTCTTTATAAAGAACAGTAAATTAGATATTACATACCCAACCATATGCACCTCTATAAATTTGCAGTTTAATAACTTTAATTAAACAAAACTTTTTCTCTTTTGATAAAAGTAAAAAAAAACTTGTAAATATCATCCCAAACAATAATTTGATGGCCACGCAATTAGACATTTTGCAGAAATTTGATTTCATAAAAATCATACTTTGATCAAAATTTATACCAAAGTTAAAAATATAGGTTGTACAAATCTACTTGACCAAACCCAACATCAAATTTGATATTTTGCAGAAATTGATATCATAAAAAATTAAGCTTTGATCAAAATTTACACCAAAATTAAAAATCTAGATCATGCAAATCTTGACCAAATCCAATCAGGGCATGGGGCGATGAACCTAATCTTATTTTATGGTCATTTAACTAAAATGTCTAATTTTCTTTTGATTCCTTCAAACCAAACAGGGAGAACTAATGAAGGGACAATCTCATCATAAAAAAACCCTTACGAGGAAGGGATTAGTGAAAAAAATCAGTATGAAATGATGAAGCGCTCCCAAAAAAACTTTACAGAAATGACAGAAACCTAAAGCAGAAAAAAAGGCCTTCTTCATTACCTCGTTTGGCACCAAGGTCAGCAGAGGTGAAGCTGGCCGATTCTCCATCCCCAGTATGCTTGAATTCCTGCAGCTCCTTATGATTAAGCCATGGTTTCGTCCACACCTTTGCCTCGTAGAGCTTTTTAATCCCTGCATCGATCGCCTCCAAAGTGAGATGATGAAGAGTTCCCGCTACCACCTGCTCCTTGGCCTTCACCACACGAGCAAACTCCAGCAGAGCATTCTGCAACAACAAATCACCCCAAGATGTCCAAACAAACCCTAAAAAAACAAAAAACATCGATCCAAGACCCACAGATCTCGACTATATCATAAGAAAATTCCGGATCAGAAAAAAACTGCTAGGCGACCAGTGAAAAAAGTAATCCGGAGGGACAAAGAAATGCTTCTTATAAAAAAAAAATTTCCAAGAAAATAGACCGACCTCCTCCCTGTTGTGCTCGTCGACAGCGAAGCGGGCAAGTTCCTCGATCTCAACGCTGTTCTGATTATTCTCCACATCACGAACACCTCCCAGAGTAACCATGGCGATCTCTTGATCCTCGTCCCATAAGACTTGGTGGAAACGGATTGCGAGAGCAAAAGAAGAAAAAAAGCACAAAAGAAAAACAACGAAACAATTCCCCAATGCACCCATTGCCTTCCCTTTATTCCTACTCAGCCCCTTACACGCCCTCTCTCCCCCTCTTTTTATCCCGCTCAAGCCCTTCTCCAGCCGGTCTGCAAACGCGCGTAAAACGCCTCAATGGTTGCTGTTCATCCGCCATATAATTTTTTTTTAATTTAAAATTTTGATTATTAATTTTAAATATTTAAGTGTAGAATTTTATTATTAATAATTAAGAAATACATTATTTTTCAGAAATTAAAATATTTTTTATATAATTAATTTTTTAAAGATAAATATTAACATAGAAATTACAATAAAATTCTCATATATATTTAAAAGATATCAAGCACTATAATATCTTAACAAAAAAAAGAAAGAAATTAAAATAAAAAACAAGTTCGAATAATAAAAAATTAAAATAGCGAGTTATGACAATCTAATAATCCGGAAGATTGGTGTTGACTCCTCCAAGATTACTGAGAAATTGTCCAAACGAGTTTGAAGAAGAAATTTATAATTCGTCATAAATAAATCAGGAATAAAGATGCCCAGATTTCACTACAAAATGTATTGAGTGATCATTTGTGGGATCAATATACTAATTATAATGTTTACTTGTCCTTGCATTTTTTTCGTTCATATTTGCGTTCTAATATAATTTTCATTTTATTAAATATATATTTGCTTATTTAGGACATATTAATATCCCAAATTTTTATCGAGCAAAAAAATATATTTTTTAAAATTATAATAGGCTTAAAATTAATAAATATAAATATATGATTAAAAAAATATAAAATAAAGTATGAAAAAGAATATACTAAGAATATTCTTTTTTAAGTTAGAAAATGAAAATCGGTTGATAGCAAGTTAATGCATTTTAGAGTTTTACTGTATTTTGGAGTGAAAAATGAGTTTTTCTGTTGGAGATGCCCTACACTCTGCCTAACCGGGAAAATTATTAGGTTTGGACACCGTACCAAGAAATATGTCCGGATATTCAATTAAAATTTGACACGTGGACTATGCTTTGATTGTGCTTTTACTGTATTTTGACTGTACTTTGATTGCACTTTACCTGCGTTTTTGACAGACTTGACTTAAAATTCAGAGGACACGTGTATATTTTATATGTCAATATTTTATTGAAGTCCGGTGTCCAATAAATTTCCCTCTAACTGCCATTCCCACAACTTTTAGCCCGCGGTTGTGAAGGAAGGCAGTCCTCTTGCCACGTGTCCAACACATGTGAACAATGTAACGGCTAGTTTCGAGCCTTTACTGTAGGTGGTGTTCGTGGCTTATACTAAACTTAGCTTAGGCTGAAAGCATGAATATTTAATATCCCATTTATTTATTTATTTAGGCAATTGACAACTGAACCTTAAAATCATTAAAACTTTAACTCAATGTGATGCTCGTCTTGATCAGTTAATTAGGAGTTTTAGTTATCAATTAAAGGATAATGTATGTATGAGTTTACAGGTCTCATACTGAATGAGAAAAAATGAAGGGTTACATTAAATAGTCGACAGTTAGTTTAAAACTTATCGAATAATCATGCATTTGGTCACATAAAACGGCGGCCTTTCGATGACCCGATTAGAAAAGTAGAGATATTAGATTTGACTTATGTTAAGAAAGTTAGAGGTAGACCGAAAAAGATTTTGTTACAAAATATTAGAAATTATCTTTCCTTATTAGATTTAAACGAGAATTTGACTTTTAACAGGACACAATGGAGAAAAAAGATTCATGTAGCCGACCCCACGTAATGGGACAAATGCATGATGATGTTGTTGTTGTTGAGTTTACCTTAATTCTCCAAAAAAAAAAAAAAAAAAAACAAATAATAGAACTCAACAGCTAAAAAAAAAACAAATAATAGAACTCAACAGCTAAAACTTATAGCTAAAGCCAATAACACGATAAAAATAATAAAGTAAAAAAAAAAGGTAAGTGAGGAAATTAGGCTGGAACTTATCTAGATTTATTAGTTGGTTAGAAATTTAGACTATCAATTAGAATTTTTTGAATTTAAAGCTCATATATATGTGATAAGTGTGTGAATTTCAGTTTAATTTGCTCAATTTTTCTTTAAAAAAATCAATTATCTACTTTGAGATAAAGTAATCAGATATAACATTCAGTTTAGTTAATAAAAAGTTATTCTCACTCTAAATTAAACTGTTAACAACTCTGTTAGCTAATCCTCTTATGTTATATGCATGCCTTTGCTTATAATTTTTCTTCATACTTTACTTTTATTGACTATTTTTAAATAGCAGATATTGTGTTTTCACCCTCTTTTTTAACTTAATTATTTATGTATGTGATATAAGAAAAAATCTTAAGACAATCAAGATTGATCTTTATTTACTCATATTAACTTAATTTTTTCTCATGAAATATAAAATAAATATAGAAAAGTATTATTGGAAATAAAGAAAATGAAAAAGGAAAATTGTTGTTTGAATATTTTGACTTAAATTTGATCAAAATAAATTTAAATTTATTTAGAGTAGCTCTTAGCTCTAGCAGAGTGTAATTTTAATAATAATAGATCTAATTGAGATATTAGTACGTGTGGTATCTAAACTGTCCGGAGGCAAATCCAGACGCGCCACATCACTCGGATGCACTTGGCCCCGGGTGACGTTACACATCCGAATTCACCTTCGAACTGTCCGAACGCCTCACGTAATAATTTTCCAATCTAGTGGAGTGTTTGTGACTTTGAGCAATCAAGTCATTAATAAATGTACTCATTTTAGATATTCTGGGTCTATTATTCATAGTGATGGTGAAATAGATGAGAATATTATTAGTAGAATTCAAATTGGATGGTTTAAGAGAAGAAATGCTTATGATTTGTTGTGTGATAGAAAAGTATCACTCAAATTTAAGGAAATAATTTATAAGATGATGGTGAGACCTTCAATGCTTTATAGCGCAAAATATTGGCCATTAAACGAGAAGCATAATATTAAATTAAGTGTTACTAAAATGAGGCTGCTCAAGTGGATTTACTCTTAGAGATAGATACGGATCAACAATATTCATGAAAAAATTGGAATTGCTCTAATGATAGATAACATTAGAAAGAGTCGCCTTACATAATTTAGTCATGTAAAATAGTAACCTTCTAATGATCCTGTTAGGAGAATAGATATATTATACTTAGCCTATCTTCTTAAAGGTTGAAATAGTCCTAAAAAGAATTCATATAACCAACCCCATGTAATAAGATAAAAGCTTAATGCTAATGTTGTTATTGTTGTTGAGATATGCATAATATATGATTAATTAATTAAAATTATATATATTTTTCAAAATAAATATAACAATTTAAAATGCAATACCATCAAATTACCTCACCCAATTTTCTCTAAATAAATATAATAATTTTTAAATTCATCTTAAATTATTTTTATCAAAAAATATTAATATAATATTTATTCAATACTATATACGCAATGACCCCCACTCCTTATAGAACAAGAAAACCATTTTTTGCAAAGAATAGTGCCACCTCACACAACCAATTAAGATCCGATGGAGCTGCTTCATCTTCAAAGTTCAGAGCGTCAGCTCTTCAATTTGGGAGAAATTGTACAAAGACCTCCCATGAAAGGCCTCAGCTTCTCAGGAATAATAACAGAGCCATCTTCTTGCTGAAAATTCTCCAACAAGCATATAATCATGCGGGGAACAGCACAAGCAGTGGCATTCAGTGTGTGCACAAATTGAGTCGGAGATGAAGAAGCCCCTCCCTTCCCCTTCTTTGGAGCAGCCATTGATGGATCAGATGGAGCTGGGCGGTACCGAATGCCCAATCTCCTGCTTTGATAGTCTGTACAATTTGATGCACTGGATATCTGTTTCATATTTGAGAAGGGTTGAAAATTATTTAGTTACAGGAAGACAAGAACCAAAAGAACACAATGAAATCTGTCGAGTATTAAAAAAATACATAAATATAAGTGTTAAAGATCCGTTAGGGATGACCACAACTTTTTATAAAGATGATTGTACAATTATTTTAGGTAAAATAGCTTTTTTAAGAGACTGTAAAAAATGGTGTCCTAACGCTGATTTTTTTTGAAAAAAAATGAGAAAGCAGCAGTTAAACAGAACTGTGGTTGTGATATGAAAAACAAAATAGTAAAAAATTATTCCAAACAAACCCTTAATATCTATTATCTATTATAATACAACTAATTTAAATTAGGTGTTTGAATATGGGTGTTGAAACTGCGTGAAAGTAATTTTAATGAGTATTAAAAGAATGGACATCTTTCATTTAATAGTAATAAAAGCAAAATGTAAATGTGAGGAGCTTATTCTCTTTGGACGAAAATTTCACACCATTTTGCATTTAATATGTATATATATAATGTTTATGTGTATAGACATACATTAATGTGTTATGTGCACAATACATGCATATTAATTTGATTTCAGTAATGGTCATCCTACAACAACAACAATAACATCAAGCCTTTGTCCCACTAAGTGGGATCGGCTAAATGAATCCTTTTTCGTCATTGTGTTTTGTTAAAAGTCAAATTCTCATTTAAATCTAATAAAGAAAGATCATTTCTAATATTTTCTAATCAAGTCTTCTTAGGTCTACCTCTACCTTTCTTAACATAAGTCAAATCTAATACCTTAACTTTCCTGATCGGGTCATCGGAAGGCCTCCGTTTAATGTGACCAAACGATTTAAGGCGACTCTCTCTAATCTTATCTTCCACTGGAGCTACTCCAACCTTTTCACGTATATGCTCATTTCGTATCTTATCTCTAAGGGTAAAGCCACTCATCCACCTAAGCATCCTTATCTCTGCAACACTTAACTTAGTATTATGCTAAAGTAAAAAAAAAAAAAATCAATTTTAATTTTGATTCGATTAAAATTTCCAATAATAAATTAGTAGTTTTCAGTTTCTGCCTAATTACTCGCTATGGTTAAAGTTATGCAAAACCTAACCAGAAACTAGGCTCAAAATAAAACCAAAGGCATTTCAGAGAGGCATCCTCCTTGCATACCTCTCCATATCTTTCCAGGCCAGGCATCCACGCCTCCACATCAAACTTGCGATAGGCTGGTGCACCCAAGTCACTTGTAGCCATATCCAGTGTCCTTTAAAGAAGCAGTGTTAGAATAAAATGATTCAGTAGAGTTCAATAAGCAGGATCTCAGTGAGGTTTTGTTCTACTTGAAATGAAGACCAAGGGATGCAAAGAGATCTTCTTCGATTTTGACAAGTTCTTCGTGATATAAGTTACTCTCATTTGGTCGACAAAATACGAACATTTCTACCTTGCTGAACTGGTGTACTCGATAGAGTCCCCTAACATGAACATAGAGAATCTCAGTGATAAATGAAAATTTTAAATATTTAAATGTTGGTCACAATCATAAAATTTTCCTTGTTATGAAACCATTGATGCAAATATCAAATAAATATGATGACTTCTAAAGGACATGAACAAGAAAAGCTAGGGAAGATTGCACACGTTGAAAAAATTAGTAAAGAGGGTCTGTCAGTAGATGAAGGTATAGAAGTTTGGTAGACATGAATTGATCCAGATTGAAGTGAAACCTATATGAACTTTTGGTGGAATATGTTTTTACAGCTAATACAAGTTGAATTACCTGGTTGCAGATCCTGCAGCACCCGCTTCAGTTCTAAAACAATGAGAATAGGCCACATATTTCAGAGGCAATGAAGAATCCGGAATTATAGAGTCCATATGAATGCCCCCAACAGGAATTTCTGCAGTTCCAATGAGGCATTGGTTACTGTCTTCAATAGAATAAACCTGCTATGATAACCAGTAAGCACCTCCTTTGACAATAAATATAGCATTTACATAAGAATTCCTTGGAAATATCTATATTCAGTTTTAGGGTCTTGAAGGGACAATAACATTACTTTTTAGTAAACACTGCCACCATTATACAGGAGGAAAACACAGTTAAAAAATAAAAGAAAAAAAGCCCAAAAGGATCCTCCAACTACTAACTAGTGTTCAATTTGGTCCCAGAGCTTCGCACTGTCTCAATTAAGTCCCTCAATTATTGAAAATTGATCCAATTTAGTCCTAGGGCCTAAAACAACCATTAAAGTCATCCCGAAAGTGTTAAATATGAGGGTATTTAAGATAGTGCAAGGGTATGTGAGATTATATTGCTTATATTGATATATTTTATTATTTAAAAGTTATAAGAAATATAAAAATCAAAATGAAAGTAAATTTAGCAAATAATAAGGGTGAATAATTAGTAAAGAATATAATTTTTTAAGCAAAATCTAAATGAAAGATCTGTTAGTCACAAAATATGCAATTAATTTGGTTTACCAATTGAACCAAATAAAAACATGAACTATATTTTGTTATACTGCAATGGATCTTGTTTACCAAACTAAAAGCTAATGAATTAGGTTATAATACAAAAAGAACACGAGTTTGTAACTCATAAAAACCCTCATTGTCTCCTCATCGATCTTGCAAAGTCGATGCAGTCATGTCATCTCCTAGCGTCGATCACAATAGCATGTCGATCTCACAGTCCCGTCGTCTCGCATAACTCGTGATTGTCTCCTCTTCGATGTCGCAGCACATCGTCACGTGGCATCGCTCGCAGTCTTAGACAATGTCGTAGCACATCGTCGTGTGGCATCGCTCATAGTCTTCGACGATCTCACAGCACAGTCGTCTTGTGGCGTCGATCATAATAGCTCGTCAATCTCTCAGTCCCTTCGCCACGCATAGCTTGCGATTGTCTCCTCTTTGATGTTGCTGCACGTCATCACTCAGCATTGCTCGTGGTCTTCGACAATCACGCAGCACAATCATCTCGCAACGTCGCTCACAGTTGCCCATCGATCTCGCATATCTCACGGCGTCTTCTCTTCGATGTTGCAGCATGTCGTCATGCAACACCGCTCAAGGACTTCAACGATCTCACAGCATAGTTATTCCTCGTTTCATATCCACATGATTATAGCGGGAAGATGAACTAGGTAATTAAGGAAAATTAAGTCTTTTTACTAAAATACCTAAGAAAAAACGAACCCTTGCCCTTTCTTTTGCTAACGTTCATGGAAAATCAAACGTGGAGACTAAATTGGAGCTATTTATAATAGCCAGGATACTATATTAGGTCTTTATAAAAGTCTGAGATTAAATTGAGCATTTATTAATAGTCGGGAGGCTATTTTGAGCATTTACTCACAAAACAAAACTGTATGCATAGAGTTCCAACTAATATGATTTGGATAACAAAGTAGTATAAAAGCTATGATTTGTGAGTCTTGTGGTGAATAATACTACAAAATGATGGTGAAATGTACATTTGCAATAGAATTTGATCGACATCAACTTTAATGATGAAGTTCGCACTTGAAGCTTATTGTCGAGCAAACTTTAACAATGAAGTTCACACATGGAGCTTATTTTCATCGTTGTTTGAGAGCTAAAGTGAAACTAAGACAATGGTCATCAGTTCCTACTGTTCCATGAAGCTAAAGGTCAGCGAAATGAGACTTCATCCTAAGTTTGGGCATTCGAAGATGAGGTTTGCATGATTTTGTATAATTTGTTTGAGAGTTACATGAGTTCTAAAACATTGGGATCCCTTTGCCCTCATTCAAATCCTTTGAACTTTGCATATTGTTGATCGCTGACTGTCCCTCCCTGCTAATAATATTCCTCACCTATAGTGTTGCGCCTTCTCCATCTTCGACTACATTCAGATCCAATAAGACATTGCTTGTTGATAAATGCGAAAGTCTTTGACATCATCTTCTATTATTTCTTTTGTGACAAATGGGGATGACAAAGAAGACCATGAGTATATGATATAGAATATCAAACTTTAATTTTATATATTAATTTTAGGTAAAGATATTTTGGATACCTTTAGTATGGGGGCATTTCACAAGTCAAAGATTTTAAAAACCTTCCACATTGATCCCTATTACCTTTTAAATTTTCATTATGATCACCTAGTTTGATTTTTTATCTTTAAAGTAGTCTTTTTTTATTATTTCTAAAATTTATATGAAGCTAATTTCTTATGATAACAATATCATTTTCCTAAATATTTTTCTCCTATTATAAGGTCAAGTCATCTTACAATTAATATAGGTCACACTCTCGCCAATGAAGGAGAAAACTAGGTAGGAGAATAGAAAAGGTCACACTACTATTAAAAACTATTACTTTGGGTTTCAAAGAAATGAGGATTTCACTCAACCGAAACCCAATCTAACATTTCATCTTCTATCAACCTTTTCCTCCTCAATCTCCCCGTTCCAACTTTCCCTAGGTCTCTCTTCCTCTCCACCTCTTTTGATATTAAAAAAATAACTCCCTTTTCCTCTTCTCACTCTAAACAATATTCTTTTCATAAACAACCTACATTCAACCTAAAGTGCCTTCAATTTCTAGATCAAAAGAAGAAAATAACGGAAATGGAAGGAATATAACAGAAAGTAAGGACCTAAATAAAACGTAACCCAAACATTGGGAACAAAGTGGATTGTTATTATAATCATGGACTTATGAAATGCATATCCTAAACCTGATGGACTCAAATAATATTTATCCTTATTTTTTTATCTTATAGGTATTAATACCACTAGAATTCAATGTTACATATGAGCAAACAATTTAGGGTAAACAAAATGCACTACCGGGAAATTCGATTAATTGTCAAAATATATCATTTTAGAAAATGCAGAATAGCTAGAATCTATCACTTTAAAAATTGTTGGTTTGATGCAAAGCAATAAATTAAATGTTTTTACTTTTGTTAAGATATACTTCAAATGCATTGAAATGCAGATAAAGATGGACACAAAGAACGAGCTCAAGTGGACAATGGGTAGCCACAAGCGGTTGCTGGCAATGATCGGTAGCAACATGAGGGAATACCAAGCACGCACATTGCATAAACTTTACAATATGAGCAATATGCAGGTATACATAAAATATAGAAATAAAACATAAGGGAGCAGAGAAATGCATGTTACATAGTTTAAAGGTACTACATATACCTTATTAAATTTGTTAAGAGCGACCCTTAAACTATAGAGTTATGCTGATGTTGACCTTATAAAGTTTTGTAGCCTAATTTTTACCCAATGAATAAAATGTGTTGCGCAAACTTAGTTCTGAGTAGGTATTTAGGAAATTTTTTGTATTTTCTCCACAATCAAACTATAGCGAAATATGCAAAGGCTGCAACAAGACATAGTCATCAATTAGGTGAATATTTACAGAGTTCTATATTTTTTATACACTGATCTTCATTTCTATTTTTTCACGCTCAATGTTTGCAAAGTACTGCATTTTCCCAACATACCTAGGTGGTGCTCCCGATACCCAAAAAAGTACAAGTTGATATAATAATAACTAAGGTGGCAGAGAAGTTCTTAAACGAGTTAGGAAAAGGAAACATGAAAGTGTTCTTTTTCCAAACAAAAAAATATAAACATCTAGCCAAGAATATAGCATGTCATTCTAGAACATAACATATTCAACTTAGATATCATTTTAACTAAGGTTTAGTAGACATTGTATTATGGTTTTATAAAATTAAATGATTGGAGAGCTAGACTGAATAAAATTAAATATTAAACGATTACAGCAGACAAGTTGACCCTCTGCAAAGTTTCAATGGACTTTCATGGTTAGTAAGGTGGAGGTGTCGCATAGAGTTTATTCTTATAGGACATCATCAAATAATCGATCTCCAAATGGGAGATTGTTAATAATGTGACATAATTTTCGCAATAAGCACTGAATCAAATTATTCCTATCATGATAAATAAGCATAAAACTCAAAGAAATTAGTTTTATAATAAAAAGAAATTAAATGAATATGCTTTTGGATAAAAGAGCCTACAAGTTTTTTTTTTTCTACCTGGCTAAACATCCATTGGACTTCTTCGTTTCTATTGCTATGTAACATAAATAGATGTGATGAGGTGAAAAAGCTTTTCATTGCTTGAATGGACGAGTAAAAAATATATAAAGGAAGAGAGAAGCAGAGCATCATGCTGAGAAAAAAAGAAATAGAATGAGAAAAAAAGAGCAGAGGTTGTGAATATGAAAAAAGAAATAGTGGGCAGAGGAGAGAAAATATGAAAGAGAGGAAAATAAAGAGAAAAACTCTAGTTTACTGCAGACTCAAGCACGATGCAAACATACTTTTGACAACGCAAGGGTGATGCCGTAGGAAAACATAGTGATGCTGGAGGCAAACGTTGTGTTACAGAAAAAATATCTTGTAATAAACATAAATACAAATCAAAGTTTTTGATAAAAGCTCGTCTGAATCTCTTATTTTTACAATTTGATCCTTAGTTATTTTTCTCATAAAATTTACAGAAACATGAGGAAGGCAAATTTGATGTACTCATTATACACTAAGGTGAATTTTTTTATTTGTACGTCAGTTGATTTAAGCAATTCAATCTCAACAAATCACATAAATTTTAGTGAAGCATGCATAGCTCGTACCCTTTTCAACCTTATTCTATGTCACTGATCAAGATAGATTAGAACACTTAAATAAATAATGAAATGTCATGCTCTGCTTCAAACATGAAACAGCAAGGAAATAGTTCGGAAAATTTCACATGGAGCATGCAGCCAACTACATTAAGGTTATAGAGCAGATAACTTACGTCTCTTTGATTAACAGAGTTTACAATTAAAAAAATAGATGTAAATGATAGAATAAAATAAACTAAGATGGTTTTTTAGCACCAGCTAAACCAACACTAGTCGTTCCTACTCCAACATCAAAGAATTATGAAAACTAAGCATCTACATGAAGCTTTGCGTGTTAGCACTGATGATCATGGACATCCAAGTTAGCAATTCAGGTAAAGTTGAATTATGAAAATCATTAATAATAAAAATTATTCTTCAATAGAAAAAGGGCCAGCTCATGATGCAGTATAAATGCTTAATATGCCCTGACAAAGCTCAATTCTTAGGTATAATTTTGACCGACTATACATTACGTGAACGAAGACCTACTGCAATATAAACAGGAAAATCTCCAATTATTAAGCCATTGAACCATATCGAGTGAAATATCCAAAAAAAATCTCGTCAGCAAACATTTATTGCATTTTCTTAACAACGAATCAAGAAGTTCAAAGAGTCAGGAGAGCGTGTGGACACAGAAAAGAGGGGAAGTTGGGCTAAGAGAGATAAATATTGAGAACCTGTGTATTGTCCCCACGAGGTTGGAACCCACACTTCTCAACAACAGAAGATCTTACAATCTCCGGAGTAATTAGAGGCGTGAAACCCCTACTAGAAACTTCAGATATCGCCCAGTTGATAAGAGCCATTTCTAATAAAACGGCCTCATTTTTTAGATAGTAAAACTTCGCTCCACTTACCTATAAAATTAAGAAAATACGTTAAATAAAAACAGATCTACAAGTAGCAAATTAAAAGTTAATCACGAGATCCATCAAAGGGTTGTGAGGAAGAAATATACTAAAGCCAAATATACTTTCACAAATCAAAAGGATGGGAAAACAAGTGGCATGTTCATGTACTTCAAATATTTATGAGATTGTTCAATTTGAAATAATCTTCTTCAATGCATAAGCTTCTGTAAGGACCCAGAACTTCTATGATTTAGATTCTCTTGGGAAGGCTAGATGACTAGACATGACAGGTTGGATATGGATTGGCCTGGCTTGTCTAGGCCAAACAAGCAAATTGGGCCAGCTAGGTGTAGTGAGTCGACTGGACAGATTTGGCAAGACTTCAGAATTTCCAAACAAGTAAGATTGGTTGAAAACGACCAGCCAGACTTGACTGTGATGGCCAGGTTGGATGAGTAAGCAAAAAGTTAGTTCAAAGATTAGATTTGCTCTGGCCGGCCACAAATGAGCGCTGACATATAAATGACCAAACTATATCCCACAAGATCATCATTATGATGTTAGTCATATCAGACTCAATTTTGGTACGATACACTGTGTTGGCAAAAGAAGATGAGAAAAAGAAAACCATATGACATTGACAAATGTAAAACATGCACAACAACATCAAGTCTTTATCCCATTATGTGGAGTTGGCTACATGAATCCTTTTTCTCCATTGTGTCTTGTTAAGAATCAAATTCTCATCTAAATCTAATAAAGAAATGATATTTCTAATTATTTTTAACCAAGTCTTTTTAGGTACCTCTAGCTTTCTTAACATAAATCAAATCTAATACATCTACTTTCCTAACCGGGTCATCGGAAGGCCGCCGTTTTATGTGACCAAATCATCTAAGGTGACTCTCTCTAATCTTATCTTCCACTGGAGCAACTCCAACCTTTGCACGTATATGCTCATTTCATATCTGTCTCTAAGAGTAAAGTCATTCATCCACCAGAGCATCCTCATCTCTGCAACACTTAACTTAATATTATGCTTCTCTTTTAATGGCCAACATTCTGCACCATAAAGCATTGCAGGTCTCACTACCATCTTATAGAAATTTACCTCAGGTTTGAGAGGGACTTTCTATCATACAACAAGCCCAATGCATTCCTCCACTTCAACCATCCAACTTGAATTCTACTAATAACATCCCCACCTATTTCACCAACACTCCGAGCAGATATCTAAAATGTGTCTTATTAAGGACTTGATCGCCCAAAGTCATAATCCCCCGGGGCTCTAGATCAATTATTTAAAATTACACTCCATATATTCAATTTTAAACTTATTCAAACAAAAGCCTTTAGACTCTAAGGTTGACCTCCATAATTCAAGTTTACCTTCAACTTCCTCTCTAGTCTTATCAACAAGACGAATATCATCAACAAAAAACATATACCAATGTACAACCTCTTGCAAATGTCTAGTGAGAGCATCTATGACTAAAGCAAAAAAGACATGGTCTTAAGGCTGATCCTTGATATAATCCAACTGAAATAGAAAAATACTTGGTCAAACCACCTTGTATCTGAACACAAGTAATAACTCCTGCATACATATCCTTAATGACTTGAATATAAGCATTATTAACCCCTTTCTTATGTAGAACTCTCCATATCACTTCTCTTGAAACTTTATCATATGCTTTCTCTAAATCAATAAAAATCATACTTAGACCTCCTTATTCTCTCTATACTTCTCAATCAAATCTCTCAATAAATGTATAGCTTTCATAGTAGACCTACCTGACATGAATTCAAATTAATTTTGAGAAACATTAGTGTCATGCCGCAACTTATAGTCCATAACTATCTCCCATAGTTTTAAAGTATGACACATTAACTTTATTCCTCTATAATTCCCATAATCTTGTGCATCACCTTTATTCTTAAAAATATGAATCAACACACTCATTCTCCACTCACATGACATATTTTTAGTCTTCAAAATAATATTAAAAAGTTTAATAAGCCAATTAATTCTTTCATCTAATAAGTATTTCCACACCTGTATTGGAATATCATCAGGTCCAACATCTTTTCCACACTTCATTTTCTTTAAAGCCTCTTTAACTTCGGTTTTATTAATATGTTGATAAAAACAAAAATCTTTCTTTTTATTTAGGATGCTAAGGTCAGTAACGTCAATCGCATTCTCACAATATTCATTGAAAAGTTTAGCAAAATATCTCATCAACCTTTATTGAATATACTCTTCTAATAAAAACACTTTTTTGATCTTCACCCTTAATACACTTGAACTAAATCCTTACTAATATTATTTCTTTGCTTAACTAACTTATATATATACATATCTTTTGCCCTCCTTAGTATCTAATATACACTATAAATCATTAAAAGCTAAAATCTTTACACCACATATTGCTTTCTAAGACTCCTTACAAAACTTTCTATATTTTTTCCAATTATCAAAATTTTTACAGCTATACTAATTTTTATAACAAATCTTCTTTTTTTTTTTATTTTTTCTAGCACATTTTTATTCCACCACCAACTATTTTTACTATTAGTAGTTTTTCCTTTTGATACTCCAAGCACATCGTTTGTAATATGTTTTAATATCACTAGCTACTTTTTTCTATATAGTATTAGTTTCCTCATGCATAGACAAAATTTTAAGATTTAGAATCTTACTCTAAAAAATATTTTGTTGATTTTCTTTAAATGCCCCAATCTAATCATAGAACAAAGATTTACTTTATTTTTTATTTTATGTCCATTCATCTTAAAGTCCAAAACTAATAAGAGATGTTGGGTACATAAACTTTCACTCGGAATAACTTTGTAATATTTGCAATCTAAATGATCTATTTTTTTATAAGAAAATAACCAATCTGAGTTTTATTATATCTATTCTTATAAGTCACGAGATGTTCATATTTTTTCTTAAATAAGGTATTAGTAATTACAAAATCATAAGCTAAATAAACATCTAATATTGTCTTACCACCTTCATTAATCGCTCCAAAGCCATGATCCCTATGAATACTTTTAAAATCTACCTCTCTACCAATATGTCTATTTAAATATCCTCTAATAAAAACTCTTTCTTCAAGAGTAGGAGTGTCAATTCGGGTCAACGGGTCAGGTTCGGGTCCGACCCGAGTTGACCCGACTGTAAACGGGTTGACCCAAACCCAACCCGTTTAGTCAAACAGGTCAGAGATTTTAACCCGGACCCGACCCGTGAACCTGGGCTCAGGTGTAGCTGCGTAGGCGTGCTCCCGCGCTCCGGCGACCACGCGGTCTGCGTAGGCAAGCTCCCGCGCTCCGGTCGACCACGCGGTCCGCGCGAGCACGACCTAGGCTTAGGCGTAGCCGCGTAGGCGTGCTCCCGCGCTCCAGCAAACTCCCGCGCTCCGACGACTCCTGTGTAGGCGTGCAGGATTGACGTCATAGGCCTGACGCGGACGGCTGGCATTGCGAAGACGCGACGTGACGCCGATGTCCCTCGATTCCCTCCCACGCGAGAAAAATGAAACGGGCAAAGGCGTATACGGGTCAGCTCATGTCAATTTCGGGTTACCAGGTTGACTCGGACCCGAACCGTTTTTTAAATGGGTTGAAAATTGAAACCCGAACCCGACCCGTTTGTTAAACGGGTCGACCCAAATCCGGATTTTTCGGGTCGGGTTCGGGTCGGGTTGTCGGGTCTGGTCAATAATTGACACCCCTATTCAAGAGTTATCTTTTGTATTAATTCTTCTAGGTCATTCCAAAATTTTAATTTTGAACACATGCATAGCTTAGTAAAACATGCATAACGTGGAGACATAATGTTTTGAGACAACCATGCTACTATCTGCCCCAATCAATGTTTGTCTATCTATTTAAGTTAATTAGCTTTAATTTTCTTCATTATCTATTGTGCTTCTTCCTGGTGTATTATTATTGTTTGCCTAACTTAGTGAAACACTAAAGGCCCCATCTCACCAAAGGCCAGCTTTTTCGCTATACATTATGCTCATAACCAACAGGCAATTCATCCTGGATGGGCTCCACCAAAGCAAGCACATCCAGGCAGCATGTTTGGGAGCCGAGTGGATCCTAACTCCCTACCACAATCCCAAAGAAGGAAAACCAAGTCGACCAGATTAGATGATCCTGAGTCAATAGGGAAGCGTGACAGTATTAGCCAATACCTAACAAGTTATTCATTTAGTGCTTATTAACTGGATAAGTTAAGTGAATCTGTGCCATTCAAATCAGTAAGCCTCAATATTCATAAGGGCTGAATGAAAGCATGGATATTATTACTGAGTTTATGTAAAGGAACTTGAAAACAATCATATCTCATATAGATTAAATATCCATCGAGAATTCTTATTCCAAGCACTAATAGGGAATAAGCACTACTAGAATACCTCAGCTGCAGAGTCAAAATCAAATAAATCAAGTTCTTTTCCTAGCTGTATGTGATCTTTAGCTGTAAATTTAAACTCTGGAGGGTTTCCAACCTAGATCAAAGAATGACAAAGAAAAAAAATCATGAGCACTCTTGTTCAGCAAACCAAAATATTAGACAAAATATCATTAGAATGGAATACCATATGTCTCACAACAGAGTTCTCCTCGCCCCCTGTTGGAACATCAGGATGAGTAATGTTTGGTATGCATTGTGCTTCTAGTTGAAGCTTATCAGTAAGCACTACTAGATCCTCTTCTAAAGCAGCGAGGGCTTCTTTTAGATTCTTCCCTGGAAGAGACAACAGAGACGACATTTAAGTAAAATAGTTAACAAAAATTCAAAGCTTTACAAAATGTATACCTTCCTCTACAAGAGCCTGACGCACAGAAGGATCCAGTCTTCCCTTCATCTTGTTAGCAACTATATTTCTTTCCCCTCGCATCCGTTCAACCTCCTGCCATCTGTGACTAGGATTAGATAAGGACGTTTTTTCTTTTCTTGCTATAAGAGTACAACAAAACTATTGCAGGAGTCCATTACAAATTAACCTTATGTATTCGTTTTTCAAGCAACAACAAAAACTTTCGTTTTCTTCTCATGTTACCGACGAAGAATTCAACATAATTTGAATGGAGTAATTGTCAATGATGAGAGCAATTCAATTTATGCCAGCAAAAGCAATAAATAAATAAATAATTTTGTACTTACATATGTTTAAGCCCATATTTGATCAGGTGAAATTAATCAAACCATTATTAGAACATGAATCGTCTTAAAGTCCTAATCTCATCTTCTGCGAACTCGTCGTCGCCAATCCAGCCTTATATGACGGTTGCCAACCCTTATCTCATCATCATTGACCTCACCATCGTCGATCCCACCCAGCACGACCTCGTGCCGTCCCTGACCCCCACACTAAAATAATGTATTTCCTTTTCACCCAACCAAAAACGAAAAAAAAAAATGATTTAATGGACTTATTTTACAACCAACCAAAAATCTTAAAAAATAAATTATAATGAATTTAATTTACAATAAATTTAAAATGCACATATATTTGAAATACTTGCAACCAAACCACCCCTAAGATATTCATTTGAGACTATTTCTCTCTTCTTGCATTTTAGGCATGATTCATTTCTTTAACAAGGGCTTAGAGTCCTTCCACAAATAACTTTGGATCCAATATCTTCTTTGGTGCAATGAAGTATGAATCATGTAAAAAACCAATATTCAAAACAAGGATCGCCCCAATAATCATAAAAAGTTTCTACATAGTAAGCAGCAAATGAATATAGTAACTTTGGCCTACAACAAAGAGGATCATCTAACAAAGATAATCAAAAATATTTTCGAGCGCTTTTGGCAAGACGATTCCCTGAAGGGAGGTAATCTATTGTCTCTCATAAGCACCAATGTCATTATACTATGAGTTGCTACTCCAACACCATCACATGATAATGAGCATTATTTTCCAAATCATAATACAACTGAGACTCCTCTTGTCACCCTACAAAACTTGAAGCTCAACCGAAAAATGCTTTTTTAATCTAAACTGCAGAGACTTATCCAACACCAAAATTCAAGATGTCAATGTTGGACAAATATAAAAGGAAGTTGGATCCCACCAATCACATCATTCACTAAGTCAACAATTTATCTTCTCACAATCAGTAACATGATGAAATGTGGTATGCTCTTTACTACATGCAAGGAGGAACATCTATTGTGGTTCTCCTACCTTCTTCTAGAAATCATCACCTCCTTTGTTGACTTAAATTTATTGTTTATCACTCAATTCTCTAGTGCCTAAAAGCTGATGAAGAACTCCTTAGCTCCCTTGAATATGAGACAGAAGTCGAAGGAGTCACTAAGCCATTTTGTCACTCGGTTATAGTGTGAGATGTTAGATGTACAAGCCCTAAAACTCGTCATCACTCAAACATCGCTTACTAATGGCATTTGCAAAGGACCTCTTTTAGCTTGCGATAGCCAAATCCTTGATTGAATTGCTAGAGTTGGTCAATAGCCACATCAATGAGTATAACTATGTGACTTCAGCTTTAACACCTTCTATATTGGGCTCTTCAAAGATTATCATTAGCATCCTTGAGTTCAGCGGAATAAATCACATCGTTATCCGAAGCCGCAAAAACTTTGTAGAGGGTATCGGCCCGAAAAGCAAGATAAGGGAATAATATCTTATGACCCCGAACAAGGGACAAGTCACCTCATTTCTAGAAGAATGTATAAGAAATTTTTATGCTTTCCATTGAGGCGAACTACATTATATGCTCGTGAACCATCAACCTATTTTGTCTTCTATAAAGATCACAGCTATGTATGGACTATCCTTACCACCTTCGTAGTCACATTAAAGAATTGGTAAGCACCGATAAGCTCATAGAATTGGTTCTCATTGACACCATACATCTAAACCAGGCACCTATTTAGGAAAAGAACAACAATCCTAATACACACAAATGATTCATATTACAAGGATAATCTTAATGATGCTTGATGAATCCGGGGTTAAGGTGTCAAGGTAAGAAACCTCAAGTTCATCATCTTTCAAGGAGCTCATCACCATCACTAATGCAGACCAATCACAAATCGGGAATCCTTGCGATGCTATCATTACTACCCTTATCACCAACTATCAAATTGAGATTATTTCAATCGACATGGAGAATTCTGTAAATATTATATTTCAATGTGTTTTCAATATTCATTCATGTTGCACTAATTGTTGAGTCATTTACATTTTCTAAAGAGCATATTAAGAACGAAGCTAGATCATATTACCAACAACTTTGGGCGAGGGAGGCATGTGGGCTGTAATGGTCAACTTCATCATAGTCGATGCTCCTACCACCTATAATGCACCTTTGGCCAACCTCACTTGAACACTTTCAAGATAATTGTTTCAACTTACCATATTGTAGTGAAGTTTCAAGCAAGAGGTCAAACACTCACTATCCAAAGAAACTTGCTGCAATTATGGAATTCTACCTACAAGCAATCAAATTAGTCTAACACTCCAACAAAAAGTTTTGCAACTCCAGGAACCAAGTTACACTTTGTGCATTTGCACTTTGGTTTAGAGCACCAATTACTATTCATTAATTGTCGTAGATCAAACAAAGACATTTTCTTTTGATTCATAATTGAAATGCAGGAGAAGAAATCAATGTCACATGTCAATGTTTGAACATAGACAAGTCAGCCAAGCCAATCAAATAAAGAATTTGACAAATCGCACAAATTTGATAGAGAAACAAATTGACGCAATGCTCAAAAATTCTGGAAGGTCAGATTCAATAGAAAAATCCAATACCCAAACTAAATCTTAAATGTCATCATGGTCCAAAAGGGTAATGAGAAGTGCATAATATGCGCAAGACATGATGAATATGAAAAAACCTTATCCCAAGGATAGCCACCCACTTTTGCAATTTGGTGCTCTAATCGACTCTGCAATCGACTTTCAGTAATAACCTTTGTTGACGCTTTCACAAGTTATCAACAAATTAAAATATATCATATCAACCAAGAAAAGAATATGTGTTGTACTACTACAATAATACCATTCAAAGTAAAGAAAGTTGAAGTTACTTATAAGCGAATGATGGGCAATTTCTTAGAAAATCAAAAAAAGGAAAAAAAAAATTGAAGTCTATGTTGATAACTTGCTCATGAAAAGCCAAACTCAAGAAGACGTCATAAATCCCCAATGTACCTGCTCAAATACATCTTTGGAGTGTGTTTGGGTTTGTTTGAGCTTTCGTCTAACACCACAAGGTTTGAAGGTCAATCCCTATAAAGTCAAAGTAATATAAAAGATTTCTCCTCCAAGAACTACCAAAAACTTAGCATCTTATAGGGTGAATTATATGCCTAAATTATTTTATCTTGAAATATGACGAAGATTGTTTAGCATTTTAAGGTGTTAAGTGGTGTCATGGTGTGAAACACTTTCAATAGATTGAGAAATGCGGATAAGCATTCAGCTAGTTATAGTCTCTATTATCTCAACGCCCGTTCTCCAAAGCCCACAACTTGGTGACAATTTGCTACTTTATCTCAAAGAGGGTGAGGAGATGGTCAACTCAACTCTAATTAACAAAGATAGCAAGAAACAATGGCTAGTGTGTTACGTCAGGAAAATTCTCCATAAGATCAAGTTAAGATACATAAGCCTAGCAACTGTCTTCTCTAAAGTCATCAAAAATTTAATATACCTATTTACATATGCCTACTCAATCTCAATGTCAACTTCTAGACTTGTTTTGATGTATTCTTCAAAGATTTGATCTAAGCGTAGAATACATAGCCTTAAGGACCTTCATCCAAAATTCTCACTCAAGTTACTCACTACGCTACAAAGATAATCACCTTTAAATCCAATCTTCTTAACATGAACTCTAGACTCCTTATAGAAATTCCAATCATCCTCAACAATCTTGAGGTTCACTTCCTCAACCTGATCATGATCGCTTCCACTATTAGAACCACTTCATCATTAACATAGCTATTGGACCTCGCTTCTTATGAAATCGTCTCTCCATCAACAATAACAGGATCATTTCCCTTAGTGATTTGGAATTCCTAGTTGCCAGCTTTTTCCGACTCTTTCTCTTGGGGATCTCTTCGACGTTAATAGTAGGCATATTGACCCACATAGTCTTCTCTTTGTCGAAAACTTCAAATTCAATTACAACTACCTCGAAAGTTGGCTCATCAACACTCGTGTCCCTTCCCTAGCAAAGAGACCTCAAGGAACTCACTCTCGCCTTCAGTTGAAATAGCATCAGAGCTAGCAAAATCACTTCCTAATCTTCCTTTGGAAGATTTAAGATTAATTCAAAAATGGAAGCCCTACTCTGAAACTCTAAGATGTGTTAAAATATTTATTGTCAAAACTTTGTTCACTTGGATTTGTGGAGATGATTCAGGGAAGAGGAGGGATAAAAATGCCACCTTGCTCTTCCAAATGAGGTGTATCAATCTTTCCATCTATTTACTAGAGTGCCTTCTAGAATATTTTTTGAAGCATATAATCCCTCATGCACACATTTCTCATCACAAGTTGCTCACTTTGCAGCCTCCTTGGGCAACTAAGGATCCAACTTCTCCTAGTTTTCTTCTAACTTCTTGAACTTTACCTACATCAAGGGTAGTTTCCCTACCGCCAATAACCACTCCTACAATTAAGGGAGATATCCCTGTGCAGCCATATTGAACTTCTTTGAAGCTCATTGACAACATTCAAGCCTATAAATCGCTTAAACTTCTTCAATTCTATATAAAAAAAGGTTCTAAAATAAAAAAATGTCAACAAAATAGATAACCAAGATTCAAGTAGTGAAATTCTGAAAATGAAATACAAATATCAAAATTTATTGGCATCTGTGTTGGCATATCAAATCCGTGCTAGGAATCTATACATTACATTGAGATAACGCTCAAAATTAATTTATACTTCTCATTTGAACTGCCCCGACCAAATAGGGTGTTTCAATTCTTTGATTCCCTAGTCATTTTCATCTTCTTAAAAGGGATTTTGCTTGTATCATGTTAAGTCATTATGAGAACCTAAATTGGGTTCAAGAAGTCGTTGATTGAGAAAAACCTTGGATATTTTGCAACTTGACCTAAAGCCTTAAACAACCCAAAGTCACATCTCATAACAACAACCCAATAGTTAGCTTTAACCCGACCCCTACTAATAAGTCGTTGGATATCCCTGTGCAGCCACGTTGAACTTCTTTTGAAGATCATTGACAACATTCAAGCCTATAAATCGCTTAAACTTCTTCAATTCTATATAAAAAAGGTTCTAAAATAAAAAAAAATGTCAACAAAATAGATAACCAAGATTCAAGTAGTGAAATTCTGAATATGAAATACAAATATCAAATTTATTGGCATCGGTGTTGGCATATCAAATCCGTGCTAGGAATCTATACATTACATTGAGTCAACGCTCAAAACTAATTTATACTTCTCATTTGAACTGCCCTGACCAAATAGGTGTTTCAATTCTTTGATTCCCTAGTCATTTTCATCTTCTTAAAAGGGATTTTGCTTGTATCATGTTAAGTCATTATGAGAACCTAAATTGGGTACAAGAAGTCGTTGATTGAGAAAAACCTTGGATATTTTGCAACTTGACCTAAAGCCTTAAACAACCCAAAGTCACATCTCATAACAACAACCCAATAGTTAGCTTTAACCCGACCCCTACTAATAAGTCGTTGGACTCATCTAAAGGACTCATAAAGTGTCCCTGAAACAATTCACCCTAATAACTCATGAATTCGAGCCCTAACTAAAGGATTGCTTCAACATAACTCACCTATAGTACCCCACCCCCCAACTCAAAATCTAGAAATTGTCAATAATTCATGCAACTGATGCCTACTTCGGGTACAACTCGCCTGCTACATAATCAACTGCAACAAGCTCAACCTATATGTTTTGAATGTAATTGTACTGCACTTTCAATTATATAGCACCAATCTTAATCCCCACCAATATATAGTGGATTTGTGGTCAATCTGGGGCACATAAAATCTCACCATAAATATTTACAAAAAAATTCTATCTACAGATTGTTTCTTTATATCTCGATTCCAGTAACCCTTTTTAGTCTAACGACTTTGGTCAGGATCTTTGTATGCCAATTCCATAAGAGATTCATTTGAGAACCAGATTCTCTCTCCTCTTGCTCATTGGGCATAATTCATTTCTATAATAAGATATAGCTATTCTTCAAAGGACAACTTTGGATCCTACACGATGCATCTGCAACTCCTAGCATGATGACATCACTATAACCAGTTAATCCAACTAAAGCATATCCTTTATCGACATTTCCGTCCTCAAAACGAATGTAATAAGCTTTTATTATATGTCAATTTATCAACAACGAATTCAATAAAATAACAGAGACGAAAAATAGTTTAACCTTCTGAAGGCTGCAGAAATCCTCATAGAGCTCAAGGACAAGCTCCAAATTGGCAGTGGAATTCCTGTTCCTAATGTTGGCGGCAACAAGATCCTTATTATCCCGGATCCATTTCAAGTCAATGGCAGCTTTCCATTGGGGCCTGAGAGTTGCTGCACCCAGCATCTCAAGAACTTCAACTATTTGACCAGAGGTAGAAACAATATGGGAAGAAAGCACGCACCATTCTCTCCGTGGGATGAAGCGTTGGCAGCTGGCTCAGAAATAGCAGGGGATGAGATGGCCCGTAGAAGAAAAGGTGGAGAAACCTTAAGCGGGAAGACGGGGAGTGCCGGGGTTATGCTTAGGGTTTTGAAGTGTGTTAACTGTGATGGCAGCCTGCAAACAACCGGCGCCCGCGATAGCAAGTAATTGCAGGAGATCATCCCTAAATAGCAAAAAAAAAAACTTAAAAAAAGAGATTGGGATTTAGGAGGTCTACTGGAGTAATGGGTAGAATGATAGAGCTAAAAAATAATGGCTGCCTTAGGCGGATTGGCGGATAGGGTTTGAGCGGCGGAGAGCAGCGGGAATGGGAGGGCAGTGCCAGTTCAGTAGTTTTGCACGAGGAAGAAGAATATTTTTTATCGAGACATTTAAGCGTGAGTCATTAAGATTTTTTTATATTTATAAAAATAATATCTAATTTTCTTGATAAATTATTGCCCAATATTAATTTATTAAAAAAATTAACGAAATATCTTGAAAATTTTTAACTGGCTTAATTTATAATGCTTTAGAAATTATTGTTGATCATGAATTAGCATACAAAAATCAATTTTTGGGTTTTTTCTCTCACCAATCTCAATGAAAAATTTATCAATTTACAATAATATAAAATGTTTTAAATAAGATTAAAGAGGAAGTGGAGAGGAGAGAGGAAAGAGAATGAGAACTTTCAGGGCTTTTGCATCTGTCGTTTATATAGGAAAATTGTTTTACAAGTAGTAAGTGACATTTATTCTGCATTTATTCCAATGATTTTGAGTTTGATACTTTTTATATCTTCTGAATAAAAGTCTATATCTCTCAATTAAGTGAACTTTCATCGCATAACTTTTTGATATGTGATAGATGTCATTAATATGAGCATTTTAACTGGAATATTTCTGAATTTTCACTGGGAAAATGATAGTTATGAATTTATAAAGATATTGCATATTTTATAGATTTTATTATATCTCCTTTATTATTGCATTTATCGTTGAAATGATAATGTTGTTATATGATGAATGTGGCATTTGCATACAAGCAAAGAAGGGTGACAGTTAACATTATAATTAATATGGGATAGTTGATAAAACATGATACCTTGCGTATGAGGATGGGTCGATGAGCTTTCCTTTGAAAATGAGTTGTGGTGTTATTTGAGTTGTTGTCTGTAACCGCTTGATCAAATTACGATGACGGGTAGAGTGACGACTCTTAAATGATTATTGAAAGTCACCTTTGAATTGACTTAAAATAATAAATACTGATGGAAAGATAAAGATCGATGACCAATTGGTTGACGTTAGGGTTAAATGAAAGTCTGGTGATCGATGACCAACTAGGAGACAATTGGGGTGGAAGGATGAAAACATCATATTAAAAGCTGGATTTCCTGCCTTCTTTAATCTTACCTTGATAAATGCATACATTGATAGTATTAACAGATATGTCATATAGCATTGATGTGTGTGCATATATATAATATATGATAACATTGATGTGTGTGCATATATATCATATGATATAGATAAATGCACTAAAGTATATGACATATAAGAGGTATAAGACTGACGACTATTGATTAACATGATATGATATATAAGACAAACTAATTGCTGATTATCACTTATTTGGAATGCTAAATTGATATCTAATGGACTAATGTGAAATTATAATGCACTATGTTATTTACAATGCTAATGATATGATTTAAGTATATGATATGTATTAATTTCAGTTGTAGATATTAGTAACTTGTTGGGCTATAATATTCATTATATGATTTTTACATGTTTTCAGGGAAATGCAAGGAAGCTTAAGGATGAGCTATGTTTTGGTCTCTAGTAGTCTTTCTATTTTGCAGTCATGCGTTCATTGAGATGAGCTAGTTTATTGTATGCCATGACTATTATATATGTATCATTTTGAGCTTGTACTAGCCGTACAATTGAACAAATATAAAATACATGTTATTTCTTTTACTACTATTTCTACGAAATTGGTAAGTTCTTGTTGAATAGTCGAATGGTTGTAAATATAAAAAATAAAATATATAATTCTTTTTTACTTAGATCCTAGGGCGTGATAAAGTCAACCCTCACAAAGATAATTAAGAGTTCTCACGAATTACTCAATTCACCACTCGCCCTCCATTAACAAGCAGCAGCCTACTCGTATCTGTGTTGAAATATTGTCAATTATGCTTATCACCTTAACTACAGGAAAAATATCAATCCAAGAGAGTTTTAACTCATCCATCATAAGTAACCCTCAAGCAAGTGAAGCGACAGGATTCTCCCCAAGACAGGAAATAAGATTAAGAAGAGTAATCATTTATCAGGCCAGTTAGAGTGTAACACATGTCAAAGGCAATTTGTAAGAAAAAGTGATTATCTTATATATTTTTTGTTTTTCATTTATTTGAACTTTCCTTTAGTCTGAGATCCCTATAAACAAAGAGGGAAGAAAATTATTTTGATTTTTTTTTCTTCTTTTAACACTTTCAATATAAATATTTGAGCTGGTGGATTACTTCCTATAGAATTTTTCTTTCCTTTTCTCCATTCTCACATAGGTTCTTAGTGTACCCCTAAAAGCTCACATGCTAGTAAGGTGGGTTGACACCCATGAATAAATTTAGATCCAACACTTGAAAATGGTAAGGTGGGCATGGATTGATGTTAGTGACTAGAAGACTAGCGAAGCTTGACGAGCAAACTCACCTTGAACCCTTAGTAAATATGGAGAACTCAGACAACACTACTCAACATAACCTTATGGAAATAGAATAAGGGCTAGCAAGGCGTGCATATACGGAGAGCACCCTAAAAGCATCATCTAACTCGGTGATTTTTCACATAAAAGAAGACAATATAGCATTGAACTCTATGCCCATTACAGCCTGAGCCACTCGTCGAAAGCACCAACGATCACTCTTTGACCACTCACCTCTTATAACTCATTGCAAGGAGAGAGCAATAATAAATGAGAGAAACGAAAAGAGTGGCCCGAATAAGGGTGTCAAAAGTTGACACGACCCAAAATCCGACCCGAAAAAATTTGGGTTCGAGTCAACCCGTTTGATAAACGATAGAGTCCGGGTTCAGATTTTTGACCCATCTAAAAAGCGGGTCGGATTCGGGTTGACCCGGCAATCCGCGAGTTGACCCAAATTGACCCATTTCGTCATCCCATGCGTCACGTCGCGTCCGCGCTGCCCGTCAAGTCACATATGTGATGTCACATCTGTGTCACGGTGTCAGCTCGCGTCTGCCGTCTGCAACACCGCATCACATGTCGCGTCCGTGTCCAGGGGTCCCCATCGGCGGCTCGGCTCTTCCTGCGACTGCGTCCAGGCGTCCGGCGTCCACGTCCAACCGTCCAGCGTCGAGGTGTTCCGGAGTTCAGGATTCCCGCTTCCAGCCGTCCAGGTGTCCCACGTCCAGGCATCTGCATCCTCTGGCCCTCCACTTCCCTTAGCTCCGCCGTTCCGCAGATGTTCGCGGGTCGGGTCGTGTCAACTCAGTAACCCGCACGGGTCGGGTTCAGGTTGGCAAACCTGACCCATTTGCAAAACCAGATCGGGTTAAGGTCAACCCATTTATGGTCGGGTCAAATCTGGTTCGATCCGAACCCGACCCGTTGATTCGAATTGACACCCCTAGGCCCGAAGGAAAGGGACATGAGACCTCTTATGCCATGAGATCATCGCTAAAAGCACCAACGATCACTCTTATAGCAAGCTGACTCCCCTGCGACGGCTAAAAGACTGAAGGCTAGAGAAGTAAACTGAACGTCTAGGTGGGCAAGCATTGGCCTTGAAAAAGATGACAATTGTTACCACTATTAGGGGTGTGCATTGTTTGAATAAAACTGAAAAAACTAAGTCAAACAAATTTTATTTGATCATTGTAGTTCATTTGTTAAAGTATTAGTTCGATTATTATTTATTATTTTGGGTTTATTTGATTTTTTATTGATTCAAATTTTTTTATTAAATAGATCAAAGAAAAAATTGAAAAATATTAAACAAATAAATCCCAATAACTATGTATAAACAAAATTAAGAAAAAAATCAATGTAGATATTATTTATTCAATTTATGAGAATTATGAATTTTAGTAATGATTAATTGATTTTTTTTTTAAATACATGTTATTTAAGCATATAAAGTTAAATGTACAATTCCTTTGTTTCACTAACATTTTTAATTTTATGTTGATTACTATAATCGGAATATTTTCTTTTATTCTTAAACACCATTGCTTTGTTTTATTTTTAAACTTGAAATTTTTATACTAAAAAACTGTAAAAAAGTTGCACAAACGAACCATAAATCTTAACATTTCTTATCTTTAACAATACACTATTTTTAAAGCCAAAGTATATAAAAAAGTTCTATATATTAACTTAAATTAAATTATCAAATAAGTTTGTCTCAATTAAAAAAGCATGTGCTTGTTCATCTGATGAATGATAACTTGTCTCGCGGGTCATCAATTGCATGCTTCACAACACTTTCTATTTGATTGATATGTCTGGCATGAACAGTATATTTAGTGATACAATATCATTTCCTTTGATTTGGTTAACCTGTGAGGAAAATAAAGAAGAAGAAAGATTACAGGAATGAAAGTCTAAATTCTCACAAATCAGCATGATTTATTCTCCTGTTTGTGACATCTCTTCTTTGCTAAAAGAGGTTGTTGATGAAGTTGGCTCTGCGTACCACTGGTTCTCCTGCCTCGTGAGAAAGGAAGCCTCTGTGATTGATAACAGAGAATGAAGTTATTGCAAGCTGAAAATCTGGAAGTTGCTCACATAGATAATATATGATGCGTAAAATTAAAGGCAAAAAAACATCAACAATATCATCAAATCTTTATTTCACCATGTGAAATTTGCTACATGAAATCTTTTTTCTCTAATGCATAAATTAAAGTTCGTGTCATAAAAATAGCTCATGTCGATATTAAACGAATCAAAATATCTTGACATTATTATTTTCATCACAATGCAGATTCGTTTGGGACTGCTTTCTTATAGCGTCTTAAGGCAGCTTTCTAGTATAAAAATATATATTTTTTGCTAGATTGCTGCTTCAAGAAACTGTGAAAAGCAAATGAAGCCTAAGGTTTCGTTTGAGACGACTTTCTTTCTGTTTCTTAAAGCAGCTTTCAAGAAAGAAATTTTTATTTTTTTTTACTAAAAAACTGCTTTAAGAAACAGTAAGAAATCCGTCCCAAACGAAATCTAAATCACAACTTGAAAGCAAAATTTATGGTATCATCAGAATATTATCTTTAATCATGCATATAGATCAAAATAGCAGTAATCATGAAATTGTAAACTTGGAAACAACAATGCGCAAGTGAATTGGTGATTAAAGCAAAACTATTGCACGCCTATTAGTTAGCAACAACAGCAGCAACAACAACAAGAAGCCTTTATCACACTATGTGGGGTCGAGTACATGAATCTTTTTTCTTCATTGTGTCATGTTAAGGGTCAATTTCTCATCTAAATCTAATAAAGAAAGGTCATTTTTAATATTTTCTAGCAAAGTCTTTTTAGATATATCTCTATATTTCTTAATATAAGTCAAAATCTAATGCATCTACTTTCCTAATTGGGTCATCGGAAGGCCGCCGTTTTATGTGACCAAATCATCTAAGTCGACTCTCTCTAAAATTATCTTCCACTGGAGCTACTCCAACAATTTCATGTTTATGTGACCAAACCACCTAGGCGCCTAGGATCAAAATGCCAGCAAAAACAGTAAGGCAGTAATAATGTACTTGTATGCTTAGCAACACATATAAAGGTAAGGTCTCGCCAAATAGTGAGCCGAATCAATTAACAAATTAACTATGATCCTCCCAATTTGGAAAGATTTGTCAATTACGAAATAAATACTTTCTTGGGAAGAAAAGAATGATCTGGGAGGTGTTAAGCTGTTTTTGGAAACAAACAACATTCAAAGTTGATATAGCCAGTATAAAGAAGGCTGTTTTGTGGTAAATTTATACATCTGTCTTCTATAATTTGGGAATACATATTATTCCATTGTTTTAAGGCTATTTATACATTTCAAAGGTAAATAAATCAATGCACTCAATAAATAACTTGAACTTGACAAGATTTCGTTTAGGACGGCTTTCTTATTACTTCTTAAAGCAGCTTTCTAGTAAAAAGATTATTTTTTTACTAAAAAGCTGCTTTAAGAAGCAATAAGAATACCGCCCCAAACGAAGCCTAATTCTCATTCAAATTTATTAAGTTAGCAATTAAACAAATTTGAACTTTTTTTAAAAACATGGGGCTAAATGAACTAAATTTGAATAAAGTCCAATTTATTTATTCATGTTTACAAACAAGTTTGTCCTTTGTTTAAAAAGTAATTTGCTAAAGGCTTGATATTTAGCTTGATGATAGCTCATGTAATATACAATTAAAATTTTGTTAAACATAACTTATTTGATTATTATTTTAATGATAATATATTATATATTTATTTATAAGTCACGATACATTTTGATATAGAACATCAAGCTGATTTTAAAGTGTCCATTACAGGATCAAAATCAAGTGCTCAATATGTTTTAATAAAATTTAAAGTTCGGAACCCAAAATTTTTGAATTTTCAATCTTTTATTTATAATCTTCATAATATGATATTTTGAAATTATTATTTTTCTTTATTTTAAATATATTTAGGCTTGAATAGGAAGTGTTTGAGCTGATCACCTGATGTTGGGAGAGAATCTTGGAATAGAATTAGAGTGGTTCCACTCCGCTTCCTTATTGCCTCTCTAGATTTTATTTTTTTCCATTATCAGTTTTTTCTTTTTAATTTTGAATTGCATGAACTGATATAATAACTTAAATATTATTGAAATGAATGAGAAAAGAAGTATTGATGTTTTGGAAAAAAAAATGAAGAGTGAAATTCTAAGGTTTCGAGCTTCGTGGCTGACCCATCATCTGTGTTTTTTCTTGGTGAAAAACCTAGATATCCTTCTTATACTTAATGAGCTCTCTCTAACTCTTTTGTAGCATACTCTCCCACCTCCGTTGCATCATCCTACAGCAGGTCATCAATGTTAAGCCATACAAGCTCCACTACCAGTTACAGGCATTCGGTTATTCACCTCCTGCTATGTCTGGACCGTAGAAGCTCACAGAGCATTTCTCCACTTACATCATTGTACTATCTGTTAAAGCACTGTTCTCTATAACAAATTGTCTCCTCTTAGCTCTTTATATACCATGTAAAAAGTACTATCAAGCATTGAAGATTTGCTCTATTACTCTCATTTTGCTTCAGCTGTGTCTCTTCCAAACTCTTTCATGGTATCAGAGCCCGCATAGCCTCACGACAACATTCCTCCATGGCCGATTCTGGGAGCACATCTGACAACGCTCATGTAAAGGCTGTTTTCCTTCCAGGATTGTCCGGGACGAAGTGGATCGTCCCAGGATGATCGGTACAGGTTGTGAAGAAATCTGTATGGTTCGTCGGGACGAACCGTCTGGACGAACCGTCGGGACGAACCAGACAGAGAGTTTCGTCCAGGGACGAAGAAATTGGAATTAATTTTCATCTGAACGATTTGAGTCCAGAGAAGATCGTCCCGGGACGAATCGGGACATCTTCCGGGACGATCCTGCTTAATAAATATCTAAATGGTGTTGTTTTTGAAGAGAGAGAAAGTCCAGGAGAGAGAAAACCGTGGAAAGAAGAAGAAAAGAGGATTTTTGGGCGACTCCGGTCCGTTTTCGTCCGTTGCTGTAGTTGGGAAAGTTGATCGACTCGAGGTAAGGCACATTCCGCCTTTCTCAATTTTCAGAAACGTGGATTTTGACGATTTTTCTGTTCCGGATTTTGTTTCCGTTAGCGAATTTCTAGTATTATTTTCTTCAGACAAAGGTTTTACCGCGTAAGTTTTGGTATGTTTTTTAGATGATAATTGTGCACATTTTGAGTATGTTCTGGAAGATTTTTATCGGGTATTTTGAATTCTGCTGAGTTTTATCCGAATAACAATTTATCTGGATGTCTGATATTATTACTTCAGTACAGTAAAAGTCTTATAATGTTGTTGTGGATATTCTGTGGTAATTTGGTAAATTTCTAAATCTGTGAATTTTGTGTAAATTCCGTATACTGCC